TGAGTCAATTTGGATCGGACCATTAATAACTCGACCCAAATTCGATCGGATCTATCCGTTTAACAGGTCTAGGTTTAGCGAAATCTATGCATTGAACTAAGGAGAAAAAAGGGCTGAAAATTAAAATATTCGAGTACTCTCAAAAAGGGAGACGTCAATTATTGGATCCCGTATCAAAAGGCCGGCAAGAACGTCAAGAAATTAGGTTGTTTGATGTCGCTTGATGACTGGGAACTCGATACGCAATGCAATTATTGCCACGTGAACGTGGACCAAGCTACGAATCTTGTATGAGTAGTGCATCCGATGATTTTAGTGTGTTTTGTACTTCTAAAATGTCGGCAAATGTCCTAATCAGTGATTCGTCAGGTGCATAACCTAGCACCAGCAATTGGCTAGCTATTGCATTGCGTATTCATGCAGGTTTGTCGACCTTATTATTGCATAAAAACAACTTCGTTAATTCAAGGCTAGGACTAGGAGTCACGAGGCGTCCTTGGGAAAACGACATTTCGTTAGGTTTTAGTGGGACGGAGAGCTGACCCTTTGTCTTGTTAATTTAATTCGTCAACATGGCCTATAGAATCCATTAAGGATAATCACACAAACGATCCCCCTTGAAACTTTAATTTAATGTGCAGTGTAGTCCCTAGACTTTCGATTTATTCAATGTGATCCCTGAACTTTAGCCCAATGTGCATTGTCATCTCTGGACTTTTAATTTGTTCAATGTGGACCTTAAACTTTTGGTACATGTTCAATCTAGTCCATAAACTACATGAAAATGTTCAATATTGTACTAAATTGAACATGTACTAAAAGTTCAAGAGCCATACTAAACAAATTAAAAATCCAGAGACGACACTGTACATCGGGCTAAAGTTTAAGAACTACATGGAAACGATTAAAAGTTCAAGGACCACGTTACATATTAGGTCAAAGTTCAAGAACCATATGTGTCATTTTCCAAATCCATTAAAGCCCACTACATAGTCGTTCGACATAAAACAATCTGGTTTGTCTTAAAGATAAGCTGAAGGTTCAAAAAATAAGTTTTAAAGAAGAAAAAATAAAAGACTGAAAATTAAAATAATTGACAATCTAAGCATAGGCGACCCCTTCTATGGCGGTCGCCGGAGTTGATGGCAACTGCACAAATTGTAGCCACCGCAGATTGTGGTTGGATATGACCATATTAGATGTTTTTCCAGTGAAAGATTGGATACAAGCATATTTGATCATTTATCATCACATCTTCTTCAGTAGATTTCTAGCATTCCAAGCTTGAAAGAACAGAACATTATACCGTGCCGGTAATTTTACGAAAGAGTCGGTAAATTTCAAAATCCGTTGTTGACTAAATTTCGACATGTAATTTGTTTGGCTAGTAACATGTGCTACTTACCAATAGTTTTATAAAAGTACTCGAGAGTTATTTGGCTTGTAACATGTTAGTAAGTTACCAATAGTTTTGTGGAAGTCCTAATAAATGTTCGATTATCCTAAATTACCTACCGTTTCCATAAATTACTAATGGTTACTTGTGTTGCTTACCAATGTATTAAAGTTACTAACTTTTATATATAAAAAATTTTATTTAAATCCATTTACCAAATTCTATTTGATTGTATCAAAATTATAAATTCTTTCCGGAACCTACCAATATGTATTTGGAAAAAGTACCATCGTATTAAAATTACTAACTTTTATAGACAAATTATCGATATTCATTTAAGTGATTTACCAACTCTCCACGAATTAAGTTACCATATAGTTTTAGCTATATTAATTCTTATTTGCTTGAGTTACCAATTACTTTACTATTTTGAATCACTACATGTTTCAATAACTTACCAACGTTCATTTGCAGATGTTATCAGCAATAGCTCTTATGAAAGATTATCAACTCTTATTTAAGTTCACTTAGCAATGTTTATTTATCGAAACTTTAACACATTGAAAAACTCCTCAAGTATATATATGGGTAACTTATCAAGAGGGGAAATTTCACTGATGTGGAGTGATTATTTTCACGAATATAGGTACCGAAAGTCCTTGTACCATTATAAAATATTCAATCGGATCCTTCAATTTTTCTATTTCATTAATTCCTTAGATTATATCTTTTTTCATTCGAGTCGGTCATTTATTAGAGTAAAAACGAAAATGCTGATGTGTCCATCATCAAACGTGGTGGAAATCATAACATAAAAAAAGTGCATTTCAAAATCTTATAAAATGAAAAGATGGGAAGAAAAAGAAAGATCAAACAAGGCAGGAGGAAATAGCGGTGAAAGAACGGAGAAAAGGAGGGGTAGCTCCGCGGGGAGAGGTGGCGGCCCCCGCCACTAGCCACCGATGTCCGCCGCCACGCCGCCGGGCGAGTAGATATTACATTAAAAAGAGAAAATGGATAGGCAGGTTTGACATGTAAATTGTGAAGGAGAACCGAAAAGCTTGAACTTGGAGAAGGAGATATTGTCATTTTTTTTCATCCTCTCAAACATAGAGAAATGATTCGACCACCCCCCCCAAAAAAAAAAAACATAGAGAAATAATTTGGAGTTTCGCACCCGGAGCGATCTTTTTCTCCTTTCAAACCACAAAGGTCGCCCGGATCAGGGAGGTGCGTGAGGGTGGCGACCCTCGCGCGAGCTATGGCCATCGCCAGCTCAACGGTCGGCATAGCGGCTGTAGCCACCATCGCATTTTGGGGACGGCTGCGGCGGCGAGGGTCACTGTCCTCGATGCCGTCTGAGACCGAACTCATCAAGATCGATCTTTACTCTCCTACCGTCGATGGACTTGCACACTCTCTCCTTCTCTCTAATGCCAGTGTGCTTGTCTCGCCTAAGATAAGAGACGGCTGGGGTATTGCCGTGGTCACCGCTATCGCTGCTGCCGCAATATCCGCCGAGCTTCTCCGTTTATTTACCTTTTGCAATTTATTTTTCCTAATATTCTAGTCCCAAGTTCAACCAAATGAAAATCTATGTCCCAAAAAAAAAAAAAAAACCAAATGAAAATCAATGTCAATGATCTAGTCAGCAATGACACGAAAAGTGACGCTGCAGTCCACATCACCAATCCATCTGCATATCTAACGAAAGGACCGATTCGACTAAAAAAAGTACATAATTCAGAAATTCAATTGCACAAAAAAAAATCGAGAAATCTCATTGGGTATTTAACAATAGTTTAGGAATTTTTTCTTCCGTTGGTATCCAATGCGACCTTATGGGGGGTCGGCTCGTCGGTTACTCCTTTGCAATTCGAAGAAACTTCTTCCACGTTAAAGGAAAAGAAAAGAAAAAGAAAAAAGGGAATATCAAAATCTTAAAATATCGATATATTTCTTTTTCGATAAGTAAGTTTTGTGACATTGATATTTATCGCAATTGCTTGAAAAAATGAGTAGCCAGCCGACCAAAAGGACAAAAAAAATCTATTTGGAAAGAAGACATTGGGAGCAATTACGACGTAGTTGCGCGGAGAGTGCCAAACTTCCACGTCACGTCCTTGCCCGGTTGTCCCTCCCCGGTCAAAAAGCCGAACTAGCGATGGCGCTACTTTTTCGTGTCTCTCCCTACTTTCTTTGTCACGAAAATACAAAGAAATTTAATTTCATTTGATTTTAATAATAACGAAGCCGGCTAGTGAACTGGCGGGGATTGAGGGTGGGATCCGTGGGGACGAAAAGTTGGGATTTGGAATCCCAATAGTAGGGGCGAGAACGGGAATCGGACCGAACCAAACCAGATTGATCGATTCTGAGCTGTTCTCGGTAGAAGCGGTCTGGTTTCCAGTTCCTAAAATTTGGAACCAGTGATAATCGGTCCGATTCTTGATTTTGGGTGTTCCAAAAAGCTGGAGAAGAGAACCGTGCAAGAGTGTTCCATTCCCTCCGAGAGTTTAAAAACAAGGTTCTTTCCGATCCCTCGTTCAGTTCCAGTGTTCCGTTTCTTGCCAAGGAATAGGAAAAAGAAGAAGAAGAAGAAATCATACCCAGAAATCAGACCGAACCGGTTCTATGGTTGCCTCTTCTAAGGTGAGAACCGAGCCACTTTAAAACCGATCACCCTAACTTAAAGGTAACAGTGTACAGAAAACAAAGATAAAAGAGAAAAGAATTACAAAAGATGAAAGTCTTGGCGGCCGATCACCCCTATCGGAAAAAAAAAATAATAATAATACAAAAGATGAAAGTCTCAATTTGTTCTTATCTGTTTTTTCTTATTATATTCCAGCCAATTACAGATTCTTCTTAAATTACGAGATGCGAATCGGTTTGTGCAACCGAAATCGATTCTCATTAAAGAAGGAAAACACCAAAAACTTGGCCACACGAAAATAACCGCAATAAATACAAAATAACTCCGCGTTTTAAGGAGCCCCCTATTCAATCATCATCGCGTAGCCGTACATTAATAAATTGTTTTTGTAGAATTTACCCTTGTACGAAGGTAAATCAAATAAATTCTCAAAAAAAAGGAATCCCACAACAAAAAGGAAAAGCCAAAAAAAAAGAAAAAAAAGGGAAAGGCCAATATCTATTTATAAAGTAATTTCGAAAATTATTTTTTTTCGGGAGGAGTTATCACGGATTCCGAGAATTAGTCTATTTATATATATATTCGGGGCAACGTCAAAAATTGGAAAAGCCAAAAAAGGTGTAGAGAGAGAGAGAGAGAGAGAGAGGGGGGGGGGGCGGTCGGAGATCTTTTTCTCTTTCTGGCGTTTCTTGTCGTCTTCCTCCTCTTCTTCCTCCCTCCCTCCCTTCGTTGGTTGCCTTCCTGCGTTCCCCCCTCGTCCCTGGTCCATGCAAAGACCCGCGTGCATCATCAAGAACGCCTCACGCGCGGGCCACGCACCACCACCATCGATCCTCTATAAATAACACACACGTCCTCCCCCCGCATACAACGGCCAACACCCAACTCGCAAAATCTCCTCCCGAGAACCCAACCCCAAAGAAACGGACACGGCCCCCTTCCCCCCTGCGCACCGATTCCCATGCGACCGGCGCTGCCCGACCCACCATTGATCCCCCGGTGAATTCCCGGCGTGCGCCCAGAGTCGAAGGCGGCGGTTTTGCGGTCCCATCTGCTTCCTTATGAGCTGTTTTGACAAGCTTCGGTGTTCCTCCAACCTCAGCCGCTTCGTCGCGGGCCTCCTCCTCCTCATCCTGTACCATTCCTTCCAGTTGGTCTCCAATTTCCCGATTCCTATACACCCTTAATCGGAGAAGCCCCCCCCCCCCCCGTTTGCATTCCTCCTCCTGTGTTCTCTTCCCATCGCCTCCCCCGTCGTCCCCAGCGGCGTTGAATTTCGAGACGAGGATTTTTCTTCCCCTTCTTGTTTCGTCGTTGTTGCCGGCGCTTCCGATTCGGACAGGGGCTTTCTTCCCTTATGGATCCCGAGGAATCGTTATCATCGATCCCTTTGCTCGACGGTGGGTCCTGTGATTCGTGTTCTCCATTGAAAGCTCTTTTTTTTTTTCTTCTTTTTTAATCTCTTTTGTCGATTCATTACCCTTTATCTATTTTCCCACGAGAGAAAAAAAAAAGGGGATGCTTTTTGCTTGATTCCAACAATTGATCCTCTTTGATTGATTGCCTAGTCACATTAAGCATATTCTTGAATGACCCTGTTGACTCTTTGAAATGACTATAGGCAATTCCTCTTTCTGGTTTAGCAATTAGTTGCAAATCAGAATTCATATTCCTCTCCTTTTCTCTCTGGCCTGTGTGATTTTTCTCCAGTTCACTATAGAACTCGTGGCCCCTTAAAATGATAAACAGCGTACTATATAATTTTTGAATGTGGGATCATAGGATTGCTTCACAAACATATATTTATGCAAATGGGTCGGAGGAACAACCAAATTTTGAAACCAGTCTAGCGCCGTGGAAACTGTGGCCATTACATAAAACGTAGCAATTTGAAATCTGCATGGTCACTTGTATTGTCACCTTAAATTTCGTCGATGCACACTTGTTGATAATCTTCTTCTAGTAACAGATTTGTTCCTTTGGTCTTATTTCTGATAGCAATCCTTAAAGAAATATAGCATAGTCCCGGGAGATCTTTCATTCGTTTTGAGGCACCACAAAATCCTAATAGAAGCATAATAGTATGAAGGCACTGAATTCAACAGGCGTGGACTTTGAGTTTCTTACTCATTCATTAGATAATATATTGATCATTAGTTATTCTTCTGGTGAGCAGGCACCATATTTTCTCATTTCAAGAGAGAACAAACTTCGCGCCCTTCAGTCATCGTGATTGGTGGTGGAATATCTGGGTTAGCAGCAGCCCGTGTTCTTCATGATGCATCTGTTAAGGTACGGATATTTGAGAAGTTATCTGCTTACTTCTAGCGAGTAAAATGATTCTGTTCCACTTGAGGTAATGGTCCTCTGACATTTGTTTCCAGGTGATCTTGCTGGAATCTCGGGATAGAATTGGTGGTCGCATTCATACTGACTACTCATTTGGGTTCCCTGTGGATATGGGGGCCTCATGGTAAAAAAGCACTGCCCTATCTTTTTGACTTGCATGTCTCTTGTATGATTGTCATGTACCTCTGTTCGTTTCTAAGTTTGTTGCTCCAAATATATGGACATACTGGGTTTTTATATGGTCCCTCCCCTGTGCTCTATCCTGGAGGCCTGTTTACACATGAAGAAATGATTGTATATATGAAGACGGTCTGCTTTGCACTGTGTGCAGGCTACATGGTGTTTGCAATGAGAATCCATTGGCGCCTCTGATACGACGTTTAGGGCTCACTTTGTACCGTACCAGTGGGGACAACTCTGTCCTCTATGACCATGATTTGAAAAGGTTATTATCTCCTAGCTTTCGGTGTACACTTCCTGTGTTGCTTTCTCCGTATATTGAGTAGCTTCAAGGAATTTCTTCAGTGGCTCATTCTAATCATAAGTCAGATAGGATGAAGGCACTTTCAGTTATTGATCATTTCGAGTTCTACGAGGTCTTCTATTGTCAGCCTGTACTTACTTATCTCATAATTGTTTCTCATTGTTTCAGCTGTATACTTTTCGATACAAATGGCCAGCAAGTTCCCCAGAACATGGTCAGTGAAGTAGGTGAAACATTAGAGATAATTCTCAAAGAGGTGAAGTTTTAAACTTCTCTTACTATTTATGATGCACTGCAGTGTTACTGTACTTGATTTGGTTTTTTTGCGCTTCTATAGACAGATAAAGTAAGGAACGAACATGCTGATGATATGTCTGTTCGTCAAGCTATTTCAATTGTGTTAGACAGACATCCAGAGCTGAGGTAGGAGAAACGGAATCAGTTATGCAAATCACTGATCTTTTCTGCTGGATACCTGATATACTTACTGTTCTTTTCTTCATTATCTTGTTGGTTTTGCAGACAAGAAGGGCTTGCAAATGAAGTATTACAATGGTTTATTTGTCGAATGGAAGCTTGGTTTGCAGCAGATGTGGATAAAATATCATTAAAAAGTTGGGATCAGGCAAGTTGTGTATCAGATGATCTTCTACTATATCATTACTTGGGTTGTTGCATGGCTACTTCTTAATATTTCTTCTTCCGTATGATATTAGTGACTGAAGATATCACGACTATAAAGAGTTCAAAACTTTTATTGCTCTATTTACTCGGAAGTGATAAATAATCTTGGTCTTCTCTGAATGCCTTGTGTGGGTGCTGGAACTAACATTTAGTCTCAAAGCATGTGAAAATCTTGCTTCATTTGCAGAATAAATACCTTCTTATTGGATGAAGAATGCCAAAATGAATGTTCACTTTTGTCAGAAGAGGATAACCTAACAATGAGGCAAGAGGGCTACTAATCTGTAGCACTTTCTATTGACTCGCTAGTTCTTTGGGCCACATAAAGTGATCCCAGGCATACTTCTAGTAAATACTGTCTTTGGTTTCTGGTTGTGGAGATAACACAATATTCATTGCCCCTCTCTGGAGCTCTTGTGCAAAATTGTGTGGCTGGTCGAATGGAAATTTGGTTCTATTTTGCCCATATATAATTAAACCGTTGGATGTTGCTCTTGATCTGCAGGAACAGGTACTTTCTGGCGGCCATGGACTTATGGTGCAAGGCTATGATCCTGTAGTAAAGGCTCTTGCCAAGGACATTGATATACGCTTGAACCAGAGGTAATATTGCCAGTCGGAGCGTTGTCTTTGGGAAAGTTTCTTTGAGTATACCTACAAAAAGATCCAGATACAATGCAAAGAACCTATTATTTGTGAATCTTAATCTCATCGTTTTCCACTTTGCTACATTTTGATGATTAGGGTTTCAAAGATATATTATGGACGCAATAAGGTCAAGGTCGTGGTTGAGAGCGGAAAGAAATTTGTTGCGGATGCAGCTATAGTTACAGTTCCTCTGGGTGTTCTCAAAGCAAATTTAATTGAGTTCGAGCCTAGGTTGCCAGAGTGGAAGATTTCAGCTATCGCAGATCTTGGAGTGGGCAATGAAAATAAGATAGCCTTACAATTTGATCACGTTTTTTGGCCAAACATGGAGTTATTTGGCGTTGTTGCCTCCTCTTCTCACGCTTGTGGTTATTTTCTCAATCTTCACAAGGCAACTGGTCATCCTGTTCTCGTCTTTATGGCTGCGGGGGATTCTGCTTACTATCTTGAACGTCTTTCTGATGAGTCTGCTGCCAGTTTTGTCATGTCGCTGCTCAAGAAAATGTTCCCTCATGCAACTAAGCCGGTAAGTTGGTTCCCATTCAATTGTTTGCTTATCAATCATCTTGTAGTGTCCAAACTAATTTCATCTGAAGCCTTGAAGTTAGATGAATTGTCTGGGCAACCGTCGATAGAATGACCTTTTGAATTTCGACAATGACAATTTTTTCTGGTTTACTTGACTGAATTTCCCTGTCATCATATGAAATGACTTCTTTTTTACCTCATAACATCCTAACAGACACTGGGGTTAAAGCACCTAATGCAGGTGTCGACAAATCTAGAGTGGGGTTATAAGCTACGCAAAGGACAGGGGGAACAATTAATCCCACCTTTGGAGGGTTTCACTTGCCAATATGTGCTTATGTGTTTTTTGTTCCGATCTTTGCAATACTTGGTTGTTTGGACTTCCTTGTTTTGTTTGAGGGAAGATGATGGTGATGATGACTTCTCTTTTTATCCGGAGAGTGGCATTCCCATTTTAGCCTATGGAGTAACACTCACAGTCGTATTGCCATTTGTGTTCAACATAAATGTGGTATCTTGCAGTTGGAAACTTGCTTGAGAATGACAGTTTCTTAATTTAAGTGATGAGAAAATTGTAGCAATTGTCATTTTTATTCACTTTCTGTCATCATTTTTTAATCGCATGATCACCATCGTAATACTTATGATTTCTCTTTACGAGTTGGATCTAGACACTTTCATATTTCGAAGATTACTTTTTTTTTTTCGGTCGTGAAAGATTACTTGTTTACCATTACCAGATCTGTGTCTGAATTGAGATAGAACTCTAGTCCTTTATGCTAACGCCAACCAGATACCTCGTGCTATAATCATATTCTCTGTTTGACGCAGGTAAAGTATCTCGTGTCCCATTGGGGAAAAGACCCAGACTCTCTCGGCTGCTACTCTTACGATCTGGTGGGAATGCCAATGGACTTATATGAAAGGCTGAGAGCACCGATAGGCAATCTTTTCTTTGGAGGGGAAGCCGTGAGCATGGACCACCAGGGATCGGTGCACGGGGCTTACTCAGCTGGAGTGATGGCGGCCGAAAATTGTCAGAGGTTGCTCCTGAACCGAGTTGGGATAATGCGGAATGTGAAGGTGGTTTCTTTTCAGGTGGAGAGCCTTCAAGCTGCATCTCCTCTGCAGATCTCAAGAATGTGAAGCATTGCTATGCCACCCCATCAAATCTATTTACATTAAATAAATTAATCATCTTGGACAAGGATAATTTGAAAATTCAAGCAATGATTTGTGTTAAATAGTTTGATTTACTATCTCTGTCTACTATGGTTGTGATTTATTGGAATGCATCGCCCGCAACAGAAAAATTATTGCAAAAGATAATATGCAGATCCGGGTAGACGTGATTTTAAATGCAGAATTGCACGAGTGGATTCCAGTCTTTTATTGGGCTATTAGAGCTAGGATAGTGGAGTAGCAGAGTGAAAAGCCGAATCACTAAATCGCTTTGCAAAAGCTTCTATCTCTTACTTTCTTACTTTCTTTACATTTCTGTTGATAGAAGATATATGCTTTGCATTGCATATTTCATCTACAATTTTGCACTGAAACACGAAAAAGTTATGAAAATTCTTATAATAATAAATTTACCCCGTATCTGGTTGTTATGTTCGGTCCATTTCAAATGGTATCAGAGCCTGAGTGCTCAAAATGTTTTGTAGTGTTTTACTTTACAGCAAAAGATCCATAATGGCTGATGTTACTGGAGCATCCTTTAGTATATGCTTATTGAAAATGTAGACAGTTCCTTGATTATAGATAAGTGATTGTTTGAATTTTTGTCTCGCGAAAGTGTTTGTTCGATCAAAGTGAATATAAATCGTGGAACGTGATTGAGAGTAGTCCATTTGAGCTGCCAAGGGAGAACCGCACCTTCACCTCGGCCTCCCACAACAGGAACTCCACTTTTTTACTCCAACACAACTAGGAATTACACTAGAAGAGCAAATGAGAAGACTTACATTAAGCGCTAAAGCCATTTATATTGTGCATCGTTCCCTATTTCGTACTGAATTCGATAGAGTTTCATCTTGTGTCGCAAAGAAGGAGATTTGGGTTCGACTTGAGCTCCCATATGAAGGAACAATACGTGTGCGAGAAACAAAGATAAACATTCTTCTTGCGCAATACAAGTCATTCAAGATAAGCAAGGAGAAAACATTAACCAAATGTCCGCTCGACATTGTGAATAGGCTCTCATCCTTGGGCACATCGTACACATATGGTGAACACAAGTGAACAAGCTCTTGCAAGGCTTGCCAAAGGAGCGGAGAGACATTAAAATCGCCATTGCAGAAACCATGAGGATCAAACCAATGGCTCTAAATGAACTTATTGGAGCACATGGCTTGTGAAGCGGAGCTCATAAGGATGCCATAGATGCCACTGGATGGCTTTAAAACTTGAACGAAACCAAGCGGCTCCGCTTCTCTTCGAATGCCATTCGGCGGGATTTCGTCGAAAGCAACTCCATAGGCATTGTTGAAATGCTCCATTTTCTCCCCCGTGTCTCACCATGGATGCCATAAAATATACCGGCGAAAATCGTGGACGGGTCTTGCATTGACGAGGATATGCGAAGTAGGACCATTTCTTTTCTACGATTCGGCATCGCATATGCTTTCTGACCGTAAACAGAATGGCTAGAAAGTCCAGCAAAGAATGATCAAAGTGAAAGTTCTCAATCCTTGCCCGCAATACAAGTTCAACAAGAGTGTAAAATCGGCAGATGACGCATAAAATTACTGAACTAAAATTGCCCCAAACCTAATCGAGAATGAAATGTTATCTCGATGCCGTCCTCTGTCCATGAGGTTCGAGCAATGGAATTCTCAATCCTCGAGGAGCGATGTTAGAGTTAATTAGGGATTTTCTAGGATAATTTCCTAAGTTAGAGGTTTATTGATAATTATGTTTTTTTTATCAAACATTGATAATTACGTTAATTATCCATATTTCTCAATATTGCACGAGTATTACACATATATTGCACGAATATCGCTCTTTGATTGTGCATATCTTGATTGAAATATTATCTTAGAATAATTATCTAAAACTTAGGAATAAAACATGGAATATGTAATTAAAAATAACATAGAAGATAGAACAACTCTTAGAAAGGTATGAATATGTAATTAAAAATGATAGCAAAGGTTGAATTTAATATTTCTCTCGATTTATAACTCATTTTGTCATTCATATGTTGGATTGAAGTAGCGATAGGGAAGTCGTTGAAAAGGGAAGAGCTCTTTAAAAGAAGATATACACGTGAATAGAGAGCTGTATTTTGTTGTTAAACTTGTATTTATTACTTGATTTAAAATAAAAACGGTTGCTTTGATGGTCAAATTCTTCTATCTTTTCTTGGAAAAAATTGAACTTTATATTCCTTCGTATGCATTAGGGCAAAAAGTATCACATTGTGACCAATTAGGGCGCGAATGGTAACCATTCTGCTCCAGAAATCAAATTCTTGCCAGAAATTGATTTCTAGAGGAGAAATCTGTTTGATAAAACATGACTAATTCTGCTCCAAAAATTGATTTCTGGAATAGAAATCTCTTTTGATTTGTTGATTTTTTTTTCACCTAAAAAAATTTAAATTTTACTCAAAGTGGGCGGTCACAGGTATTCTAAGCCATTATGTGAAGTTTTAAAATTTTTTATTTTTTGATTTTTTTTGGCACCTCAAAAAATTTAAATTTCACTCAAAGTGGGTGACCAAAGGTATTCTAAGCCATTTTGTGAAATTTTGAAATTTTTTATTTTTTTGGGCACCTCAAAAAAATTAAATTTCATTCAAAATGGGTGGCCACATGTATTCTTAAGCCATTCTATGAAGTTTTGAAATTTTTGATTTTTTTTGGGCACCTCAAAAAATTTAAATTTCACTCAAAGTGGGTGGCCACAAGTATTCTAAGTCATTCTGTGAAGTTTTGAAATTTTTTATTTTTTGATTTTTTTGGATACCTAAAAAAATTTAAATTTCACTCAAGGGTAGCTACATGTGTTCTAAGCCATTCCGTGAAGTTTTGAAATTTTTTATTTTTTTTTTTATTTTTTGAAAATAATTCACCAAATTTCATATTTTCCCGAAATCTGACTTTTTTATTTTCTGGAAATTTTTATGAATTTTTATGGAATTTTTTAATTTTTATTCATTTTCTGAAAAAAAAAATTAGTGAGATCTCAAAATATATTGTAAAGGCCACGAAAAAGAAAGAAAAGAGGGAGAATGCATTCCGGAAGAGAGAAGCTACAAAAAGTAGCTTCTCTTTTTCTTGCCCAAAACTCATTCTGAAATCAAGAATGCATTCTGGAATCAAGTATTTTTAACAAACACATTTTTATTCCAGAATGCAAAAATTACTTCAGAATACATTCCGGAAATTTTTTAACAAACGCATTTCTGTTCCGAAATACATTCTGGAGCAGACTTTCTGCTCCAGAATGGATTCCATGTGCGCCCTAACTGATTAGATAATAGGTAAGTTAAAAGATGAGTTAATAAATTAAAAGGAGTTTTTAATTAACAACTCGTCATTAATCCACAAAAAACTCTTATTATTATTATGACAAACACCAATTGCAAATCCCCTTCATCAATAGTCAATACTTCGCTTTTAAGTTCTAAAAAAATAAAGCGGAATCTGTCTTCAATACAACTCAATAAAAAAGCTTCCTTGTCCATTCAATTTTAATGAAAAAGGAAAAAAAAAATAACAACGAAAAAAAAGGCTGCTTCATGTTGCTCAATTGAGGGTGACGTGGCCACGGCCTTTGGCGGTCGTCTCCGATGACCACACCCAGGTGGACGGCGGCCGTCTATCTTGGCCGGCCCCCTTTCTTATCCTTGTGACTCGTTCTCTGTGCGAGATCTTTCATCTCGCACACTCCAACCTCAAAGACTCTTCTCTTTGCTTTGGAGGGGATAGGGAGCGGTTGCCGTCGTCAATCGAATCGTAATCTCTCTTTATGTGATCGTCGCAGATCAGCTATTGTGACACCGAGGGATGAGCGACAAGGGGCGTGGACATAGCAATGGAGTCCATCAACAATGTACTCTAAATTTGGGAAATTCTGATGGATCAAAAGGTGGCACCACGCCAGTCGATTCGAGTAAGGACCATGAAATTCATATTACATGAGAATACGTTTGCACGAATTAAAAAATAGGTCAATTTAATTCTTATTCATACTGAATATACTCGAAGCGATATTGATCGACCCCTTTCTATTTTTACCGATTGACCCATTTTACTACCTCTACTATTGTTGACAAATGACATCGATCAATTGAAAATAAAAAGAGTTAATACTATGAAAAACCTCAAACTAGTATACACGTGCTAAATTTATTCCAGACTAATTTTTTGACCGCAAAAAACCCTGAACTAGTACACCTGTGACAAATTTACTTTTCGTTATTTTTCATTACTATCAAATTGCTGAGTTGAATGACACATGACAGTTGACGGGTGTACCGGTTTTGGGTTTTATCCTTCCGTTTGTCACAAGTTTGTCAATTTGTGATTTTTCATGGTATTAATCCAATTTAATTGAGGATAATTTTGTTACAAATGTACCGGTTTGAGGTTTCTGGTGATCAAAAAAATTAGTTTTGGGTAAATTCATCGCATGTTTATCAATTTATGATTTTTTATGGTTAAAAAAATTAATTTATGATAAATTTGTTGTATCAATTTAAGGTTTTTTTGGGGTATTAACCAAATAAAAAACCATAATTTTTACAAATTTCAGGCCTCTGATGTGCGGGCAGCCCAATCCTAGTATCCTTTCTCTCTCTTCGTCGTCGCCGTTGTCGTGTCTCTCTCTCTCTCTCTCTCTCTTCTTGCGTTGCGACTTGCGAGCTGTAGATGTCCATCTCGCGCTGGGAACAAAGAAACGAAGGAGGGTTTGTGTGTGCTGATCCATCTCTCCGGCGGTTCCGGCGAGAGCTTTGATTTCGATTGTCATGGCCGGAGGAGAAGCTTTCTCTTCGAACCCGCCTGCCAAGCCGGCCGTTCTTGGAAACAGCGGCAGCAAGACCATCAACGCGAAGCTCGTGAGTCTGGCGAAACAGAGCCTCTTCTTGTTTCTGGGTTTCCCCTCGATTTCGCGTTAAGCGATGAATGACTCGTTGGGGGGCTTCTCCTTTCCTTCTCCTCTTCTGCTGCTTATTGTTGTTGTTGTTGTTCAGGTGTTGCTGGGAGACATGGGTGCCGGCAAATCCAGCCTGGTCTTGCGCTTCGTCAAGGACCAGTTCTTTGATTTTCAGGTCTTCTTTAGCACTTCCCCATTTCTCGCCCTTCTTCTTGTTTTGAGTTATGGGTTATTCTCTGCAACTTCTGTTGCTGCTTCTTGTGAGCCTTGGGGGGGGGGAAGGTTTGAGAGATCGGATTACATGTACTAACAATTAGGTGGGCAACAGTCTGTTATCACTTTACGATTCATCCAGCCCGACTACATGTACTAAAAATTAGGTGGGCAACAGTCTGTTGTCACTTTACGATTCATCCAGCCCGACTATTTTGTCTGATGCCTGTAATTTGTCATGTTTTTCGCATTTGTTGTTGCAAATTCAGAGTGACTGAGGAGATGTGTATGTAGCGAAAATGGCTCGTCGTGCATAATGAGATTAGCCCTCGCACTTTAAAATCTTTTGTCCACATTGGGTGCTGATATTCTTGCATCATTTCCAATAGACTTAATTGGTGGTGATTGCCTCCTTTTTTTCATAAGTTATGGGTTTCTGAAGAAGGTAAACGAGGATGCAATATGGTTAGGTTTCTGTAGGACTTAGCAGTTTTATAGTTCATGCTTGGAGAGAGACTCATGAAGTAATCCTTGGAGATGTGACTCCTTCTTATCTCAGTTTTCTGCATATATAGTAAGAAGTGTCCACACAATAAAGTTCCCTTGCCAATCTAAATCAGAACTTCATTGTAGAAAGGGATGAAAGTTGGCATGGTTAATAGAGGGAAATGCGAGAAACTACCGTATGTTCATTACGGACGTTTCAACTTCACTGTGCATGTCTACGTTCGGATGGTATTGGAAACTGGAAAGAGAGGGAGGGAGGGAGGGATGCACCCAAGCATATAAAAAAGAAAAATAGTCTCGGATCACTTTATCATCTCTGGATAGATTTACCCGATTAAGTGCTGTAAAGATTGCATTTTTAAGTGTGATTGGGAAAACTCTTAACATGTGAGGAGCCTAGGAGGGAGGGAGGGAGATCTTCATTCTTAAAAATGCACCCAAAAATTAAAATATAAAAAACAGTCTCAGATCACTTTATCATCTCTAGATAGATCCACCAAATTAGTGCTGTAAAGATTGCAATTGGGAAAACTCTTAAACATGTGAAGGATGATAGCTCATTAGATTAAATAAGTGGAGAATTCTTAACATAGCAATTTCCTTCTTTAATGCTTATAGGGTGGAAAGAGAGATATCTATTGAAAGTGTGCATGCATCGAAATGAGCAAGCTAGTCATCCTTTTCCTAGATAATAATTTCACAAGCCTCCAATTCCATTTAATGCTAAAGTCATGAAAAGATTTTGCATGTTTTAAAGCGGTTTCGAGGGTATTCACTTTACTAGTTCCCATTATGCCTCTCTGGGGTGCTATATCCCATTCCCGTTCTGCTTGTGATAGAACCACTGATGTTTGTTTTGGAGAGGGAGGGGGTGGTACCATGGCAGGGCACCTCTTGGGTCTCATTACATCCATCCATTCATTCAACCCGTCTTGGCTGAGAAATATTTTAGGGCTTAATTCTAAGAAGTCAACAGTGTTGCAGAGCTGCTGGAATGTTTGCTCTTCCTGTTCTCAGTGATTTTATTTCTGTCGTACTTACTGATGATGGTAGGAATCAACTATAGGAGCAGCATTCTTCTCGCGAACAGTAGGCGTCAATGATGCATCTGTGAAGTTTGAGATATGGGATACTGCAGGTCAGGAAAGGTACCACAGCTTGGCTCCCATGTACTACAGAGGCGCTGCCGCAGCTATTATTGTCTATGACATAACTAGCACTGTATGAAATCTTCCCTTTCTCTTTTTCTTCGTCTTTTGTAAGTTTTGTGCTTGTGAATGAACAATCAAATAGGAAGGTTAATTACCCGTTCTGTTAGGAATAACTTAGAAGTTTTGAACCTTGGGATAGAAGCATGGTAAAAGGAAGTGTGGAATTAATGTTAAATGAATGACTTAGAACAGAACAAGTACAAAAGTAATTATGGAAAGTTCAAATAATACACCGATCTAACATGCTATAACTTTGGTCCCATTTAATTTTATTCTGCTAATGTTCATGTGGATTGTAGGAGTCATTTGAACGGGCTAAGAAGTGGGTGGAGGAACTTCACAAGCAAGGTGCCTTGCTTATCATCAAACTTGTTTACCTTGTAAAGAGAGAATTTACAGTGCTTGTATGTTTTTCCCGAACACCTTATTGTGCTATCCAAATGTCTTTCCAATCTTTTAGTAATTGATTCTTCTATTAAATGCATATGTAAAATATCATCATTTGGCAGAAAGCACCTACTGAAAGTTTTCTAGATATTCTTGAATCTATTGGAAATAACGCAAGAATATCAGCACCCAATGTGGACAAAAGATTTGAAAGTGCAATTTAGTCCTTGAGTCTTGGAGAGTTTATGATGTTGATGGTTGAAGCCTTACAAGAATGACTCGACGGGGGGTTTATTGTTCTTTTTATGATGTTTGTGAACCAACCCTTTAAGCAGCCTTCTACATTGCGTCTGGAAAAAAGCTACTTTGTCTTTAAATTTTCTATAGTCAGTTCCCTTTCCCCTTTTAGAAGAGCAGGCAGCTACTTCTAGCTGATACATATGTGCTTATATTAATTCATCTTTTGCACCGCGGCACAGAACCTCCTATTCATCATTCAACTCCTATTCGTATAATGTGATTCGGGTCATGATACCCTCGGCATTCTGCAATTAAATACAATTTTCGATAGGAGATGATTTTATGATTGTTTTAGACTTTAATGTGTTGCTTACTGTGAATTTTGAGTTTTTACAGGAAATCCCAATTTGATAATAACACTCGCTGGAAATAAGACTGATCTGGAGGATAAAAGAAAAGTGACAGCTGAGGTAAACATTGATATTTCTTTAAATTGTTTTGATGAGTTTGATGGGGCGTTCATTTTGGTTCATTGTTCTGGAATTCTTGTGGTCCTCTGTCTCATTTAGCTTCTTAAAGAAAGAACTGGGTAGTCTCCCCATCAAGAAAATGGGAGTGCATTTTCTTGGCTGTTCCATTGTTTGTTTTTATTATTTCGATGATGAGTTGTCACCAGCCACTTCAATAAGTCTTGTAGATTTTAACTAATTTGATAGATTCGAAGGGATTCAGGGTGCAATGGAAGGTGAATAAGAACCACCAAGCTCGTTAAATATTACTTAGGTGCTTAGCCTGTCTTTTTAGCATTTTATACCCGAAAGTTAAGGCTCTTATAAATCTTTTCCTATTTGTTTTTTGCAGTTTCATAATCTTACTGATTCGAAATGGTTATGTAATAAAAAAAAAAAAAGGCAATTTTAATCATTCTCTCTCAAATGGGGTTGATCATGTATGCAAGGAGCAAGAAGTCTTGGTTACAGTAGAGTTAGGTTTTGCTACCATCAAGGATGAAAGTCTTTTGACAGCTTTATGTACTCAAAAGAAATTTCCAGCTTATATGTTTTCAATTCAGTTTGGAAATTGGTGCTCTAGCCAGGATTGGTCTTATTGCGTAACTACTTTTAGTTGGTCTACATCTCAGTTTCTGCATTGCAGCTCTATAAACCTCCACGTGTTCATAATGTCCTATGATGTTGCAGGAGGCACGCAGGTATGCAGAAGAAAGGCGACTCGTGTTCATTGAAACTTCTGCTAAGACTGCCACTAATGTCAGCAAACTGTTTTATGAAATAGGTAAGCCTCTATTCTTCTATGGAAGCATTAACTGTGTTCTAGTTTTTCTTCCCCATCCTTCTCATGATATAAGGAGAGTTTTTTATTGATCTAGGGGGAAAAATATGGTTAAACCCCACAAATAATCATCATCGTGTCAATATCTGGAGTAGTCAATCCAAAAACCTGTGTCCATTCTATTAGAAGCCATATTTTCGAGGAGATAGCTGCATTTTTCCTTTCTGCCATACCCCTTCTATTTGTTGGCATTAGCTTCTTATTTTTCTAGCTGCATAAGGATGAGTTATCAGCAACACTGACATCTCTGGAATGACTATACCCGTAATCTTTGCTCCCAGCTAATTCAAAATCAAATCTAGCCGAAATTGAGAAACTGCATTTATATGAGTAGAGAAGGTTGCCTTGTGATTTTCTTGCCTCCATCATAGCTCTTTTTTTGGGGCTTTCTCATGGTATAATATTGTAGTTTTCTCTCAGTCAATAGTTGCAATTGTATATTCTGGACAGTCTTTTAACTGCTATTGCTTTTGTGCTGGAAACAGCTAAGAGGTTGCCTAGAGTTCAGGCTATGCAGAATTCAGCGCCAGCGGGGATGGTTCTAGCGGATACAAGCCCTGAAGAAACCCGATCTGCATCCTGTTGTTCATGAGTTCTTATCAACTCTCTGTTCATTCCTTTACTTTTTCTACTCACGTTCTATAGTTGTCTTCAACTCAAGTACCTTGATCTTTTAGTTCTTGATGCATATGAATAAAGACGAATTCGACTAAAACACCACTTCGTGAAACTGGAAAACCGATTAGAATTAGGGAGTTAGTTCATACGAACCCAGTCAATTCCTCCTTAATCAGTGAAGACTGGAATCACTCTCTCTCACTCTCTCTCTCTCTCTCTCTCTCTCTCTATGTATCATATGTAATGAACAGCAACCTTTGGAGCCACGTCGTGTTGCACTTAATGTCACGATGAAAAGAAATCGAAGATATTTTTATCAGCTGTGACCCGCTGAAGCAATCATGCACACTTGTAATTTCGGTGAACACTATTGAGAAAATCCACTTTGACATGCTAATATTCATTGCTTTTATATTATATATTGCTTCGTCACCATCTTTGTCATGAAAATGGTTGAACTATGCAGAAGGGGGTCCGCATTGCCAGAAAAGAGAAACCTGCAATGTATTGGAAACTCCGACATTGCATACTCTTCATAACGAGAAAATTGCTAAATAATGGGAACTCGACATTGCGCAGTCTGTCGTGGTCATCTGATGTATCTCAAAACTTTGATAGATATAATAGCGTGCAGTATTATGAATTACAGATGAAGTTTCAAGACTCCAAGGATAAGAGATGGTCCAAATTCACAGAAGAGAACATCTTTCTCGTATATAACTCTCAAAGGGAAATCACAAGTAAGGAAATGCTCTCCTTACCTTTCCACACCAATCCGAGACCGACACACTGTGCTGGGCCATTCGCTTATCCAAAAAATTACAGGTGAAGAAGGTTCAAAATTCAACTGATGATAGATGGTTCGAACAAAAACATTAAACCGTCGTAAGTTACATTTCGATCACTAATTCTCAAAAAATAACATATTTCTGGAATTTAACTCTCAAAGGGGAATGGCAAGCAAATTTAATGCTCTCCTTACCTTTCCATATACACCAACCATCCGAGACCAACACCAATGTGCTTGCTTCCAATAAATACATCGACAACTAAGATCAGCTATTGTTTATCAGCATATTTCAGTCTAAGACATTTCCCGGAACCTAGCAAGGGCCTTCTTTTGAATAAGAGTCTTGTAGCTATCCCCAGCTTGCACCTCTAGGCTAGGATCAAGCTTCTTTTGCTGACTCCCAAGACCTGCTCTCCTATCCATCGATTGTGCTTGGACAGGCTCTATCATGCCACTACCATCCTTCCCCAGTCCCTGCGCATCATGTCATATACAAGAGGACACAAACACACACTAACCTCATCAGCAGCAAGTACTCACAAGCATGGCAACATCCCATTTCAGATTGCCTACTGGTCCCAAAAATCAAGCACTTTATGTACAGGCTAATTAGTCCTTTGTGAAATAAGGGGCTTCAGAAAACACGGTGCCGATTCTTTAAAGCATATTGGTTAAATCAATAGTGTGCGCATAAACTAGCCTGAAATCCCCAAGTTTCGGCTTTTTCCAAATTCGAGCACCCTAAAGGCTATACTTTCTTCGACCCAAAAACAAAGGCTACATTCTATAGTTTACTATGGCCAGTAGTTGATTTTGTTGGTCATAAAATTCTCTTTAAGTCATATGCAGGGTCGCTTCTGCCTAAAAGAAATTCACCACCAAGGTCATTAGGATTCATGAGTAAAAAGGTCTTAACTTATTGATATAAAACTAGGGTAAAATGTCAGCCTAGAAGAAAAAATGCCCACTTTGATGTCTACTTGGGGTGGGGGGCAATGCCAATAGTATTTACCAGTGGCACCATAAAAGCAAATAAACATAAAAGTGGGAAACAGTACCAAGCCTTCATGCCAGCCCATGCTGCGGAGCATCCGGTTCCCTACATTGTTCTCATCAATTGCTTTTTCTGCTGTAATCACCTCATAGCTCTGAGGAGTGACACTTGCATCTCCAGCCCCACGTGAGGCCCCTACTCCAGGGGGAAATGGCATTGAATCCAAAGAACTCTTTTTGAAGGCCAGATCTCGATCTCCAATAGATGAAGAAATGATGGGGCAGAATTTCTCACAAGTCAATACATTATCGACATTACATGCAAGCAACGGACTAACCAAGCCTAGGTTTCATTCTTTGGACGGGGTAAAAAGGATAGTGCACATATGAACATTAAAATTCTCATTATTGCACTTAAGAAACAAGACCTGAATAAGAAGAAAAGAGGAAAAGGAAGTGGAAGAGGAGAAGGGTGGGAAGAACGGCAGGAAGGGAACACCAATGACAAAGTTATGCGAGCTTACTCAAATCCAAGGTGTCATGGTCCAACATATCATCTCCAACAGAAGATCCATATAAGCTCCTCCTCTCAGCAGCTCGATCCCTATAGCTCAACTGAGGTTGTTCCCTGTTAATAGAAGCAGAACTCAAAGGCATTTCAGAGAATCTCCTCTTGCCACTCCCAGCAGCCGAAGGTGGTGTATAGGAACCCAAAGCAGATGCATCTGTTTTGAATGGAGTGACGCCGGTTGATGCATCGGTATTTGTCAAAGAAGATGAACCTGCAGCAGAAGCAAAAGTTGAAGACATTGAAACTCCACCGAATGACCCTGAATAAACATCTGATTTCAATAAACCTCTTCCGGAGCCCCTAATAACACCCATCAAAGCCCCGCCTGAGCTATTGCTAACAGGCCACGGTTTTCCCTGAGACTCCGAAGTAACATTCTGGACTGCAGGTATAGCAGTGCTAACTCCTGCATTTGATGTGGTACCATTCCTTATGGTATTCAAGTCGGGTTTAACCTTCCCCTTGATGGATTGTCCAACACCAAATGATTTGTCATCAGCAGAAGCAGATAGTGGGTTGTCATCCAGGGCCACACGGGTAGCTTGTCCTTCATGACTCCTCTGTTTCCACATTGTCAACACATTGCTCATCTTCTTTTTGCTGGCCATGATACTACTTTTGGAAGCAAGTTTGATCTCCTTCAGCTTCTCCTTCTCTTTCTTTTCTGCAGCTATTGCAGCCGCTGCAGCAGCCTGCACTGCATCTGGTAGCGAAGCTGCCTTGTCAGCTGAGCTTATCGTTGCAGCTGGCGCAGAGATCACAACCTTCCTATTACTGGAACTATCTGATCCTTTAGTCGGCTCAGATTGCTTATTAGATGAGGAGCTGGCATTTTGATCGGTGCAAGGAATATATTGCTGAGTTTGGTGATCAAACGAATACCAGATGCCATTATTACCATCATAATAAAGACCTGCAGATCCACCCAACCAAAATGTAATCAAGAACTAGTCCATTCCACCGAAAAAAAAAATATATCCTTCCTTCTCTCTTTCTTCCACCGGAAAGGCAGAGTGGTTGAGTATGAAAAATACTGTGATGATCCTTATCAAAAGCCTAAGGTTCTTATGGAATCAGGTAACCCACAGTAAGAAGTGATGCATAATATCCACCTATGTAACTCCTCCAACAACACCAAAAAAATCAATACTATCAATGGCTAGCTATTAGATGTATTCATCTAAAAGGTACCATGACTTTTACTAAAAAATCTATCATCTTCTTGGATTACTCTGGATATTTTGCCTGCAGTAGGATCCTAACAAGGATTCTTATATTGCAGTCAAGACACAAGGTTAGGTACAAACAACACAAATAACCTGTGTCCATAAGAAAGATAGCTAAGCAGTAAGCACTGAACAATGAGGAAGGGAGAAATCTATACTGCATGCTGTCTCTGACGCATGTATATGCAATCCATGCCAAGCTTAAGTAAAACAAATAAGTTCAAACTAACCCGCTCCCCAACCTCCTTAGAAAAAAGAACTATGAAAAGGAAAAGCATATGAACTAGAAAACATTATCTCCTCCACTGAATCCTCCACATAGAAAAGAAAAAGGTTCTCTGCAATGAAAGAACTGAAGTCATGATACCACTGAGATCACAAAATTGTCAAGAAGCTCATCAGGAAGTCCACACGAGCAACTATTTGTTTAACAACTATGCATTTCCCTATGAAAGAAGCAACATCCACTTCCTGTTAGATAGCAGGCCCAAGAGCGAGAAGAGACATGGATTTATCAGAGAATCAGGGAAAAAGGGAAAAAACAAAACCTGAAGATCCATCATAGTAGAACCCGGAGGCAGCATCATAATAGTAACCAGATGCTTCATCCCACACAAAGCCAGATTGTGGAGCTGAACCATCTTTTTTAGCAGATAACTCTCCACTCCCATGTTCCTGTCCACCAGTAGATTGTTTGTCTTCCGGGTTATATTCCTTTGGGGCCCATCCAACAGCATCATACTAGAATGACAGTGAAGCAATCAGATTAATGTCCCACTGCTATCTAAACTTCGCATGTGAATGACAAATCTCAAACTAAGGGCACTCCTCATCCATTTCCATGCATGGATACAGGAAACAAGTCAACTGGTTGATTGACCAATAACATCCTAAAAAGAGCATAATCCAAAAAATTATTAAACAAAAAAACAAGGGAAAAGACAAGACAAAAAGAAATAGATTACTTGCTGAGCAAATGTTGCTGCCTCAATTGCTGCTGCAGCTAGGCTGCTCGACTGAGACGACGCTGATGGCCCTGATCCTGGACCAAGAACACTTTTTGCATATGCTACTCGAAGTATCTGCCCATTCTTCTCAAGTGTTGTCCCATTTGTAGCTTCAAGAGCTTTAGTTGCATCCTCAACCTACAAAAGGCAAAACCACATGGCTTCAGATATATCCAATGACACAACCATCACGTCACCACTCATAATTAAGAAAACAAAGGAAGGTTAAAGCTAAGTATATTATTAGTTGAACAAATCCATTAATGCAGCACCATCTATTAAATTCTCACAAAGCAAGGTACAGCTAGATATATAATAAGGTAAAAGTGAATCATGAATTTTCATACAAGTAAACAATGGTAGCCGACAAGGCAAAATTACTTCACCACAGCATAGAAGTGCAAATGTAAAATAGGTCAATCTAATCAAATTGAGCCCTTCCCTCATAAATAACTTTGAAATACTTTGGAGTAATCAGATTGATAAATTCAGAGCGCAAGTTTGAGTTTGAAAATGAGTGGTTGATAGTGTGAGGTTAGCCTATCGCTTAAATAAGACATGCAACAACATGTCATGCCCCCCCCCCCCCCCCTCCCTCCCTCTCGAAAACCACAGTCCATTACATGCTCTGATTAACTAAGCCTTAAGCGGTAGGATGAAATAGGACCACACAATTCGAGCAAGAGGATGGCACACTCAGCCCGGTTTGTGGAAAGCGAACAAACTTGGACCGTAACAGTAGGTAAACATGCCCTGAATGCAGGAACCTTTGTTTTTTAATGAAGAGTCCGAATCATTGTTGCTTCTTTCCGCACAAATAAGCTTTGACTCTCTTTGAGGGTGGAAAAAATCACTACTCCTAGTGTCGGATGCCATTCATATGTACATAGTCTCTTTTCTTACTCTCATTCTAAGACCTGTATCAAGTGAATTCCACTTTTCTTTTAACTTTTGACAATTTGCAAATTTTCGAGAGCTCACATTTGACTTTTATTTAACCAAAAATACTTGAAATCTCTAATTTTATTCACAACTTTCCACACTTAGATTAGATTTTAATTTCAAATTTTTAGGGGAAAGTCATAACTAGAAACCAGAGGTAGCAGATAAGTGCATACAAACAGACTATCAGACACAAAACTGAGTTGTAAGCTCCATTTCCAATTTTTCAAGAATTGCATGGAGAGAATGACTTGGAGAAGGTAAGATGAAGCAAATCATTGTTGACTAGAAAAGCTACGAATAGAGAATGATCTTTTTTGTACAAACATGATCCACTTGAGTCACCGCCACTTCTGGTATCTAGTGAGAACTCGATCAAACATCTTCCTAGCTATCACTGATTAGTTGGCTCCTTTTTCATGCATAGGCCAGATCAGGCACATAAATGGGAAATACTATAAAACTCAACTAGTGTGTTCCCCCTAGAGCTTTACAGTAATACAAGTTTCCAAAGACATTCATGCACTAAATTTTGACAGTATATGCAGTTGGATATTGGAGTCGCTAAAAAAAAGTCCACCATTAACAACTCAGCAGCCCTATACCCTGACTTTAATTCCTTACAGACTTGAGATCAGGTTTTTCATGACTAAAGAAGATGCAAACACAACATATGGAAGCAAGACAAAATGTTGACAGGAAATACAATGGAGAAATGCATCAGAATAAACATACCGAATAAAAGTGTACAAACGCAAATCCCCTTGAAACATGAGTAAATTTGTCTCTGACAAGACGAAGATCCTGCAAAAAATAATATTAGCTTTTTCTAGACAAGTAAAAACAGTGCACATAGAAGTCATCTTATGTAAAGGCCCACAAAAAAGATAACAAGGAATATTACTTTGATTGGAGCATGTTTGGAAAATTCATATCGAATCATTTCTTCATCAGCATTTTCATCCAACCCGCGCACCACCAAAACATGTGTTGGCCCTGATCACTCAACTGATTTAGCATACCCCAAAACATTTCGAGGCATATTGCATATCAATCAGGTAACATGAACATACCTGCCTCCGGTCCCTTCTTCCCTAATGTTGATTGGCTCGATATCATATCTGCTGGTGGAGCATCATCTGTTCGTGGCTCATTACACTGATATCCCAGAAAAGAAACGAGCAGATTTAGCAAAAGCGACGATACACACCTTTCTTTCCATCTATATTTTCAAATACAGACTATCACAAAACCGGAAAGGAAAGGCATTGACCTGGAGGCACACTCACTTGTGCAAAAATAAATATGACACTTAAAACTGAATATAATCAGAAAACAATATACAGTTGGAGTCACTGGTACATATGTGAATTGAGGAGAAAAATCAATGATCACCTACTGTACCACAATACTTCAATATAGAGTAGGCATCATCTACTGAATGTACTCTGATCAAACCTTTTATCAATAAATTCTTTTCCATTATCCAACAAACATAAACTAGAGCAGGCACCATCCCACTTCCACATTGAAACAGTAAACTACACTAGGATGGCATTCATCCATTGAAACTGACAGAGAGGAAACTTAAATTAAATTAACCCCTCACAATTTAAGGATCACTATAGAGCATCACAGGAAGACATGAACCTGGAAGCAAGATGTTCGCCTTGCAAAATTAACGCAACCACAAATCGTGCACATCCAATCAGAAGGCACCATGATACTCCTATAGCTACCATGGCCTGATTTGACAGAACTCTCTTGACCAAAGCCTCCTGAAACTCCAGTTGGCTTACTACTGCAGCAAGACATTTGAAACTGACTGTGACTGAATTGGCCAATACAGAGGAATATAATTGCAAAATAATACAAGTTGCAAGTCTAATTATCTGTCAGATAATGTCAGAGTCAACAGCAGAGATGATACTGAATAACATTTTGTGCTTTAGAATGTGCTCTATTCCTTTGAAGTGCCTCATCTAAAACTATCAGAACTGAAACTTATTCGATAGAACTAGTATTGTGTCTACAAAGGAAACACACTAATCTAATGAATCTCCATATATAACGGTATACCTGTACTCAAAAAAAAGTTTCCTGCCATCAACAACAAGGCCATCATCCCCAACTTTCTCCATCATTGCTTCTGCTGCTCCCTGTACCCAAAAATGATTGGCATCAGCATCCACTTTTCATAACTTAAATGCTAAGAGTGGGGAAGGGATCCAAATTCCAAAGAAGGAACAGAATAAAGGCTTAGGACTAGATTAAGGATTAGGCATAACAATAATGCAAAAGATATCTCTAGTCGCCTGCATCTATTTGCTTCAAATCATAAATCCAGGGATCATACATGAGAAGGATACATACCACAGAAGGGAAATCGATAAAAGCAAACCCACGTGACAGGCCAGAATTTCGTTCTTTAATCACACGTACATGGCGAAGAGGTCCCCACTCAGCCTGATTATAAAGTTGGAATTAGCAAATTAAATGATGTAAGAACTGAGGAGAAATCAGCAAGGTTAAGAGGAGCAATACAAGGATCTGATATAGATCCTCCTCAGTTGTCTTCTGCGAGAGACCTTTCACCACAACAGTAGCAGATGGGGCCTAGGAAAGGAAGAGTCATCATGTAAGTCCAATCCACAACTGTAAAATGAACAAGTGAAAAGGAAGGGAAATATACAATTCACATACCACACCGTAATGTTCACGTTGGCGCTTGTCCTCACGGTCCCTCCGTCTCTCAGCCCTATCGTATCGATCATCATCATAACTGTCCTCGCGATGACTGCGACCACGGCTTCTACTTCTGGGAGACCTAGACTTTATATGATCATCACGTCCATGGGACCTGGATCGAGACGGCGATCGGGATCGCGAACGAGACCGAGATGGTTCATATCTTCCATATGGACTGTGATCCCTTTCCCGATTCGAACTTCTTTTGTCGTGTTCACGGTCACGGTACTCACGCCTCCTAAAGTTCACATCTCTCCTACTGCTTTTGTCATAATCAGAGTCATAACTATGTCGACCATGGCCGTAATCCTTTTCACGGCTATCCTCTCTATGCTGTGAAGTACGTGGCCTATGGCCATAGTCATCATATGGATAGTCATCACGATCCCGTCCTCCAAGCCTAGCAGGCCGATCAAGATCGCGATCACGAAGATTGTCAATTCCATGATAGCCATCTCGCAATTTGTCGTAATCTTGAAATGATGAATCGCGATCACGAAATGTATCCATCTCATTGTATGCATCAATATATGGCTTCTCATGTCGCCTAGACTCTCTTTCAAGTGGATATTCATCTTCATAATTCCTCCTCCTTGATTGGGGCCAAAACCCACCAGCAGAAGGTGGAGGTGGATAAGCGTCCCTATCCAAAGGGTACGCATATCTGTCATCTAAAAACCTTCTCTCATCATACGAACCAACCCTGGAAGAAAAGGAAGTGATGGGATGAAGGCAGCAAAATGTAATTTGACTAAGAAACGAAACATCTGCAAAACTCGAAGAACTATTGCAAGAGAAAAGGTGGAGCATGTGTGCAAAGTAGTTGAACTACAGAGGTGAAAAAATATCCAGGTACCACTAATTTTAGAAATCAATAAGCTTTACCAATGAACCAAGAAAGTCAGTCAGTACTCACCTAAAATTAGGCTCATGTGCGGAACTATAACCCTCCAAAGCCTGTGGATTGAAGAGAATAAGCTAGTCAGCAACAAATAATCAACATGAAATGAGGTTAGGCAAACTCCACTTCATTTCCACGCGGGTCCACTCCATTATCATTTTTCTTTAAGGCCCAAAAATGCGGACAATCACATGAGCCCTAGAATTTTCTTGTGTAATCATCCCATATAGGTGTTTATTAAGGAGGAAACCACAATTACGCTGTTATTTTCCCATCCTTGCTGATGACCGTAGCGATTAGGATCCATTTCTCTCGCATGCAATACCCAGATGCCCGATCCCTGCAAGGTTCTCGGTGATCTTTCAGAAGTTTCGGGTGCAGAATATTGGGAAAGCTTCCCCTGTAATAGATGCACAAACATTCACGGTTATGCCCCGACGGACCAAGAATGAATAAATCCAATGGCCATGGCCTCCCTTTTCACAACTGGAATCCTCAAAAAAATCAAATCCTTTCCACCTATCGAGAAACACCCATCTTCAAGTGCACCTAACAGGCAATACAAAGTCTTGATAGAGAAGGCCAATCAGGTAATATCAAGTGAACATGATCTGAGTGTCGGAGAGGAGGCAGTATATTCACGGTGTAGAACAAACTAAAGAGGAGTGCAATTTGAAAACAAGCACATGGGAGATGGTGGGGCGATGCAGGGGGACAAGTACTAAAAGCACGCCACAGTTGGTCCATTCAATTAGGGTTGGAAACAGAACGGGATGAGGATGGGGATCGCGATTACGTCGAGAATCTGCTCCACCACCGCCGCCGTGTGCCTCGGGCAGGAACGGGGCACCGGCGGTTCTGATAGCCCCGGGCGGGGCACCGCTCCCGGCGATCAGACAAGCACGCACGCACGCACGCAGAGGGGGGGCGGGGAACGAGGCTCACCCGGGTTCCGACGGCCAATCGGCTAGCGAGGCGCGGCGGATGGGTTGCGCGGGGCGCAAGCGGAGGCCGGAGATCGAGAGAGGTTCCGGCGACGGCGGTTGCGGCGGCGGCGACGGGTCGAGAGTGCGACTGCGCGCCGTGCGAGCGAGAGGAGGAGAGAGAGAGAGCGGAGAGAGACTTTTAGAGAGGGAGGAGCTGATGTTTTAGACGAGGAAAATGTTAGAGAGGTCTTCACTTTCTCACTATATTTTAGAACAAGCCTATTTCATATTTTAGATACACCTGGATTCTAATAATATATTTTTTGGAAAATTTCAAATAGGGACTCGAAGTAGAGTCATCTTCTCAAATAAAGGTCTGAAGTGAATCTTATCTCAAATAAGGACCTAACCTCACCGGCCAAAGGGTATTTTCATCTTTTACCTTTTTTAATTTTTTTTCTTTTTTTTCCTTGTTCTATTTTTTTTTCTTTTCCTTTTCTTTATTTTTTTCCTCTCTTCCCTTTGCCGGGGCCAGCGACCTCCGCCGGCCTCAGGCGGAGGACGCCCTTGTCGGCAACGGGCGAGGGCCGCCCTCACCTAGGCTCGCGAGGGTCGCCCTCGCCGACGTCGAGCGAGGGCTGCCCTCGCCTCGGCTGGCGAGGATGAGGTGACCCTCGCCCGACACCGGCAAGAGCCGCCCTCGCCGGATCGGGCGAGGGTTGCCCCCGCCTAGGTTGGGCGGGCAAAGGCAATCCTCGCCAGATCCGGCGACGGCAACCCTTGCCTCGCCCTCGCTCGACGCCGGCGAGGGTTGCCCTCGCTCGACGCCGGCGAGGGTTGCCCTCGCTCGACGCCGGCGAGGGTTGCCCTCGTCAGATCTAGCAAGGGTCCCCCTCGCCCGCCTGGCCCAGGTGAGGCCGACCCTCGCCCAACGCCGGCGAGGGCGGCCTCACCTGAGGCCAGCGAAGGTCGCCGGCCAGGCGCAGTGAAGGCTGGGAGGGAAGAAGAAAAAAGAAAATGGAACATAAAAGGAAAAGAAAAGGAAAGTAAAAAAAACAAAAAAAAAATACTTATAATGTTTTTTACTAAAATACCCGTTCTCCGGCCACACAATAGTTACCGGCTGGCCAAAAGTCCTTTTTTGAGACGATTTGGCCACTTCAGGCTCTTATTTGAGACGATTTGGCCACTTCATGCATTTATTTGAGACAATGTTCACTTCGGGCCCTTATTTAAGAAAATGACTCTACTTCGAGCTCCTTTTTGGAATTTTCCCTATATTTTTGGGTCACGCGACTTCCACCCTTATATATAAATAAATGAGAAATTTCCAAATAAGGATATTAAGTGTTCTCATTTTTTTCAAAAAAAGCCCCGAAGCATGATGACCATAATAGTTTCAAATAAAGGCCTGATTGCATGCCGATCACTAGCTCACGAAAATTTTCGTCCAAAGATCATTTTAGTTTCTTTCCTCTTGTTTTTTTCCTTTCTTTTCTCCTTTTTTTGGTTTTCTCTTTATTCTTTGCTAGTGATCAATGATTGGCGAAGCCCGGGACGGGCTGGGCGAGAGTCGCTCTCGCCAGCCCTCGCCCACCAGCTGTTTGCGAGAGATGGCCTCACCCAGGCAAAGTCAATCTCGCCTCGGCAAGGCAACCCTTGCCTTGGGGCGAAGTTGCCCTCAAAAGCCACAGGCGAGGGCCGGCTTTGCTTAGGTGAGGGTCTCGCCGGTCACCCCTCGCCCAGGCGAAGCCCTGTTGTTGACAAGGGTGGCCCTGTCAGATTGGGTGAGGGTGACCCTCGCTCAGCCCTTCCTCCCAAGCTTTGCTGGCCACCGATATAGAATAAAGAGAAAGCCAGAAAAAAGAAAAAAAGAAAGCAAAAAGAGAAAAATTCAAAAAATGTTAAAAGACAAAATGAGGGCTCTTCATTGAAACAAATATATCCACTTCATATCCTTATTTAAGAAAATGATGGCACTTCAGATTTTCATTTGACACAAAGTCTACTTTAGGCCCTCATTTGAGAAAATGATGACACTTCGGATCTTTATTTAAAATTTTCCCTAAATAAATCCATCCCATTTTTCATGCCCTCGATCATTCTATTGCATTTTACGGTCCATTCGTTTCACGAAAAATGTGATGTTTGTAGAAAATATTTTATTGGAAAATGATAATATTTTTATGGTGTTTGTCTGAAACTTGAAAAATAACTGAAAAATATTTTCTATTGTTTGGTATAGAAAATCGGATTTGATTTTCTTCCGTGCACTCTTTTTAATTTATTTTCTTTTAAAAAATCTAATTTTTAATTGTTTTTTATTTTATTTCTTTTCCTTTCTTCTTTGGCTACCTGTCGGCCGTCATCGTGGCTGGCAACCGGCCGAAAAAGAAGGAAAACCAATTAAAAAATGATTAAAAATGAATTTTGTTTTTAAAAAGAAAAGAAAAAATAAAAATAATTACAATGGGTGCACGGAGGAGAATGTGCTTGGTTTGGGTGAAAGAAAGTGGAGGAAAATTGATTTCCTATTTTTAAAAAGAAGAAATCATTTTTCTCACTTTTGAAAGTATTTTTTTATTGACAGAAAATGTTTTCCTTAACTCATTTATTTTCCGTGAATCGAATACTGAAAAATCCGTAAAGTATTTTCTTGGAAGTTGTTTACTGCGAAATGAAAGGAGCCTTAAAGTGGTAACCCCAAATTTATTTACCTTCCTTCTTTTTGTTCTTTTTCTATTTTTATTTAGAATTTAATTGTCATAATTAAACATTTCACACGTTTTGTGTTTGCTTAATATGGTTATCTCGTGTATATTAAATGCATTATGTTTTCTTTTTATTTTTAGATTTTACTTCCGGAAAATAAGTTTTGTCGAAAAAACGATTTCCAAGAAATCTAATTCTTTTTATGTTGTCGAAAAAATTTATGGGTTCATTGTCAAGTAGAATCTATAGATTAACATTGACAATTTTGTAAAAAAATCTTACATTCATAAACTTTTATTTTGTTGTGCATATCACCATCAAGGGTTAATACCACGAAAAACCTCAAACTAGTACATCTGTGATAATTTTACCCAAAATTAATTTTTTGACCACCAAAAACCCCAAACTGGTACACTTGTGATAAATTTACCCTCGATTTGTTTCCGTTAAATTTTACTATCAAATTGCTTTGTTAAATGACACGCAACAGTTAACTGATATACCAGTTTTATGTTTTACCCTTCATTTGTCACAGGTGTACCAGTTTGTGATTTTTTTGTGGTATTAATTCAATTTAACAGAAACTAACGGAGGGTGAATTTGTCACAAATATACCAGTTTTGGGTTTTTAGTTATCAAAATATTAGTTTTGGGTAAATTTGTCACAAGTGTACCAGTTTGGGGTTTTTCGTGGTATTAACCCCACCATCAAATCCTCTCTTATCATTATATATATTTTTTCGAAAATACTACATGGATGAAATTAATTTGTCAATCCAAAAATGATGAGATTTCACTCACATTTAAAAACATTTATTTTTTAAAATGTTGCAATTTAATTACATTTCATCTTTCAGCTCACATTGGAGAATATAACTATAATTTTATTTTATAAATTCTATATAGAGGTTTTTCTTGTTTCATCGACCATCCCATTATATGTATATGTGTATAAAAGATAGTTGATAAGAAAGAGTTTGATAGTGATACACATAACAAATGTGAAAGTTTTTAAATAAATAATTGCGTTAAAAAAGTATCTATGTTCAAAAATTTCTAGAATCTACTTGTCAATTAATCCAAAAATTTGTTAGACAAATCGAAAAAAATTAAGTTTCTTGAAAATCAACAAAACTTATTTATACATAAGTAAAATCTAACAATAAATTGAAACATAGTACCTTTAGTATACATATGATACCCACAAAGAAAAGAAAACAAAACATGTGAAATCTTAATTATGGAAACTACATCCTAAATGGAAATAGAAAACTATAAAAAGAAGGAAAGTAAATAAGTTTAGGCCACCACTTTAAATTGCAATTGAATGATTGATAGTAATTTTGTCTTTTTGGTGAAAATTTGGTTTATTTAATCATATAAGGAGTGAAAATAGCGCCGCCCTATATTTTATAGACCGGTTTTTTAACAAATGTTTTTCTTTATACTTAAATTTCCATTAAAAGAAATGTTATGACTTGAAAATAAGTAGATGTTAATGTTATCTATGATATTTTCCACAATGTTATTTATGATTATCGAGCACGTAATTTATAAGATTTTCGTTTTAATTATTCAAGTAATTAGACACAATATGCATCTATATACTACAAAGTTATTTTCTTTGGGTTAACGGAAGCTTGGTAAGTAGCAATGAGGTGGAAGATGAAATGAGTAAATTGCATATTGTTTAATACCGTGCCACAAATTGTTCACATGTTATATTTCTTTTGAAATAATAGTTATATTACTGAAAGTTAGATTCGGTTCTCGAGTTAACTCCGAAATCAACCGTTTAGTTTCCAATTTTTAAATTCGAGAATTGACTCTGACGAGGAATTGTCTAACATGTTGATGCACTCTAAAAGATTTTGTATGGCCACTGCCAACTTTTATGAAAGCTTAAGTTGATTTCCTTTATTATTCAAATATTTAAACACTATCTTTCTCTCATAGTAGGTTGGACTTTGTTTCAAAATGAGAGCGTAGAAATAGATAACACAGGAGATAAATAAAGGGTCTCGAAAAAATCAAATCGTGCTCGGGATACCAGTTCTGCTCACGGCTTACACACCTTTGCCTTTTTTTAATTTTATTTTCGCAGATTCTTGTCAAGAATATTATCGACCCTTATAAAAAAGCAAAAATCTTCAAAAAAATATATAAAATCTATGTTCATATAGATTCCTAAAAGTGAAGGCTAAGACAAGATAAGCATAACAGCGAAACAGAAAAGTTATGGGATAGCAATGAAGCAAAGGAGGTTAAGGGCGCGAATGATAATCATTCTGCTCCAGAAATCAAATTCTTGCCAGAAATTGATTTCCGGAATTCTTTCCAGAAATTGATTTTTGGAGGAGAAATTTGTTTGATAAAACATGACTAATTCTGCTCCAGAAATTGATTTCTGGAACAGAAATCTGTTTTGATTTGTTGATTTTTTTTTGCACTTAAAAAAATTTAAATTTCACTCAAAGTGGGTGACCACAGGTATTCTAAGCCATTCTGTGAAGTTTTAAAATGTTTTATTTTTTGATTTTTTTGGACACTTCAAAAAATTGAAATTTCATTCAAAGTGGGTGGCCAAAGGTGCAGCCATTTTGTGAAGTTTTGAAATTTTTGATTTATTTATTTTTTAGGACACCTAAAAAAATTTAAATTTCACTCAAGGGTGGCTGCATGTGTTCTAAGCCATTCTGTGAAGTTTTAAATTTTTTGATTTTTTTTTATATTTTTTGAAAAAAATTCACCAAATTTCCTATTTTCCCGAAATTTGACTTTTTTTATTTTCAGGAATTTTTTATGAATTTTTCTGGAATTTTTCAATTTTTATGCATTTTCTGAAAAAAAATTAGTGAGATCTCAAAATGTGTTGTAAAGGCCACGAAAAAGAGAGAAAATAGGGAAAATGCATTCTGGAAGAGAGAAGCTACAAAAAGTAGCTTCTCTTTTTCTTGCCCAAAACTCATTTTGGAATCAAGAATGCATTCTGGAATCAAGTACTTTTAACAAACGTATTTTTATTCCAGAATGCAAAAATTGCTCCAGAATGCATTCCGAAAATTTTTTAACAAACGCATTTCTGTTCCGGAATGCATTCTGGAGCAGAATTTCTAGTCCAGAATAGATTTCATGCGCACCCTATGAGCTAAGAACAAAGACAATTAATGAAAATTAGTGAGTTTCCTATTTTGCCCTCAAAACCTTACTGCCGAGAAACAAGAAGCAACTTTTTTTTACTTCTTGTTTCTCTTCCAAAACTGTTTCTCGGCACAAATTTTTGCAAAAATGTGCCAAGGAACAAAAAATTTACCAAACGCATTTCTGTTCTCAAATTATTTCTAGGAACAAAAGAACAAAAATTTTCACTATTTGGCACGTTACCAAACGGGGCCTAAAAATCCAATTTTACCTCTCTTTAAATAGTATAAACCTACATCTGCACTGCGGTCGCTCTCTTCCCGTCGCGACGACTCCTCCCCTCGCTCTCCCCTCGCTCGACTGCGGTCCTCGCTGGACTGCTCTGGTCCTTCGCTCGCTCGACTGCTCGTTCTCTGCAGGTTCAATCTCTCTTACCCCTCTCTCTTTCTCTCTCTCTTTCTCCGGTGGATGGGCAATGTGATGTTTGAGCTGAGAAGTAACCCGAGCCCTCTGCTCCTTTTTCGTCGTTGCTTGTTGTTTTTGCTGCAATGATTGAGTTTTCGGTGGTGGAGGAACTGGGTCGGGAAAAAAAAGTGGATTCTAGGTTCTTATATTAAACAGTGTGCGAAGCTTGAGTGATAATGGGATTGACATGATTATGATGAGAAAATTGGGGGTTTATGGGGTGGTTATCGTTACTCTGTATCTTGAATTGGGTTTTTGTCAAATATGATGACCCAAGGCATATGGCCAAATCCTCTCGAACTAGAACTGTACAAATTTCTGGGTACATGCCAGTTTTCGGGTTTTCAGTGACGAGTGAATTGGGTTCCTATACAAATTACAATTTCCTTGCTGGGGAAAAATCTAATTGGTGAATGAGAGGGCATGTACATTTTCTGGCTTTATTGAGGCTGAAGGTTAGTGATGATGAGCCTTGGTTTACAGTTTGTGTTGATGGTGGCAGTGAGAGAGTGATAAGTAGGTAGTCGAAATCATTTGTTATTTTTACACAGTAGAAATGAAAGGTTAGTGATGATGAGTGTTTTATGTTCTAATATTGAAACAACAGCTTCTTGAAGTGAATAATGCGAATGAGTCAGTTGTTTAATGACTGAGACTCACAGCACGGTTTATTAAACCGTCTTTGCATTTCCCTAAAGCCCTTTATGCTAAACTCTTTTACATTTCCGCAAAGCCCCTTGAAAAAGCTGAACTGAACCAAACGCATCCTCTATCTGTTTGCGTGTTTTTTATCAGTGATTATTGTGTTGGGGTCAGCTTTCTATGGGCATTCTGACATGACTCTGTCTTTATTGTTTTACAGACAGCAGCAAGAATGGCGTCTTCATTCGTGAGACGACGCCCAATGCTCAATTCTCTCTTCTCCTTGAGGTCCCTCTCTTGGAACGATTCCGTCACCGCCCATTTGGCTGCCAGTCGCCGCCGAAACCTAGACCTCTCGAAAGCCCTGAGCACATACGCTATGCCGAATGAATATCCACCTCCTCCTGTTCCACAGCAATCGCCTCCTCCGCCATATGATTTTAGGGCTTTCAATCGGAACCCAGATGAAGGGATGCAACAAAATCAATACTCTCACCCTCAGAACAGAGAGACCAATACTAGTAGTGGTCAATGGAGCTCACCGCCACCGCCACCGCCACCGCAAGGGAGTGCTCAGTTTGGTTACCAGAGCCAGAGGCAGAGTCAGCCCAATGCAGGATACCCTAGTCAGAGTCAGAATTATCCAGGCCGCGGATACTCTAATCCTGCTTCAGTTCATTCGCAGCAGCAAAGCCCTGAACAGTGGAATAAGCAAGTTCCAGGACAGGGTTATCCTCAGCAGCAGAATCCTAGTCAGTTGAATACCCAGAACCAGAGCTATGGTCAGTATCAGAGCCCAACTCTGGTGAACACCCCGAACCAGAACTATCAGGAACAGCCCAGAAGCCCTAATCAGTGGAACAACCAAAATCAAGGGTATCCGCAACCAAAAAATCTCTACCAGTGGGCCCCGCAGAACCCAAGTACTAATCAATGGAACCATCAGCAAACAACTGTAGTGCGTGGGACGGAGAATCAGGCGATGGAAGCTCCTGCTCCGGGGCCTTCAATTGCTGATCTGAGACAGTTGTGCCAAGGTGGGAAAGTTAAAGAAGCTATAGAGTTGATGAATGAGGGGGTTAAAGCCGATGCTGACTGCTTCAGTTGGTTGTTCGATTCGTGTGGGAAGTCCAAGTCTCTTGAGAATGCAAAGAAGGTGCATGATTACTTTTTGCAGTCAACGTGTAGAGGTGATCTTCAGATGAAGAACAAGGTGCTTGAAATGTATGGGAAGTGTGGCAGTATGATCGATGCTCGGAGAGTTTTCGATCACATGCTTGATAAGAACATTGATTCGTGGCATTTGATGATAAATGGGTATGCCTATAATGGTTTAGGGGACGATGGGTTGGAGTTGTATGAGCAGATGAGGAAGTTGGGATTGAAGCCAAATGAACAGACTTTCCTTGCAGTTCTGTCAGCATGTGCCAGTATAGGGGCCGTGGAAGAAGGTTTTATACATTTTGAGTCGATGCAGAGTGATTATGGGATTAAGCCTGGGATTGAGCATTATTTAGGGGTTATTGATGTTCTCTGTCAACCTGGGCATCTTACAGAAGCTGTGGAGTATGTTGAAAAGCTACCATTTGAGCCCACATTGGAGGTTTGGGAGGCATTGAAGAATTACGCACGGATCCATGGCGATCTTGATCTTGAAGACCATGTTGAGGAGTTGATGATGGCTATTGATCCTTCAGTCGCTACTGCTAATAAAATTCCTACACCGCCACCCAAGAGGCGCTCTGTGATCAACATGCTTGAGGGGAAAAACAGAATCAGTGAGTTCAAAAATCCTACTCTTTACAAGGACGACGAGAAGTATAAGAGTGGGAAGGAAGGGGGTTATGTGCCGGACACAAGATATGTACTTCATGACATTGATCAAGAGGCAAAGGAGCAAGCCTTGCTCTATCACAGTGAGCGACTCGCAATAGCTTATGGACTTATCAGCACTCCTGCAAGGACGCCTCTTAGAATCATTAAGAACCTTCGGATATGCGGTGACTGTCATAATGCGATAAAGATTATGTCCAAGATTGTGGGTAGGGAACTAATCGTTAGAGACAACAAAAGGTTTCATCACTTCAAGGATGGCAAATGCTCTTGTGGAGATTATTGGTGATCCCTTCTTGTTTATTTGTACTCGTTCCGCATGTACCTAATGAGAATTGTCTTGCTCTAGGCAGTTGGCAAAAGATACCGAGAAGTATGGCTTTTAGTGATGGGATTGAAGCGATGCTCCCAATTGTATTGGTGAATGTTCCTTTGAGTCATAATGTATTCTCATCAGTTACCAAAGTTTTGATTGTCCTCTTTTCCAGTTGCCAGCTTTCATGTTTTACCCGTGTCTAGTTCTTCAGTTTCTGGTTTGCACTGATGTGCAGAGTTAGCCTCCTTTTGCCCTTTTAAGATAAAGAATTGGTTGCTGATATATTCAACGGCAGATGATGCTCGGGACTTGGCTTTTGTTCATTTCTTGTGTGCTTGGACTGTACTCCTTATTCACATTTACTTGCCAAAATGCTGATATAGTATAGGATGTACATGTATCTTTTGGTCATCATCAAGGCTCTCGTAACCAGGGTCTTCCTTGGATCCTTATTGTTTGGTTTGAAGGGTCACCTTCAGAATTCATGAGTCTAATTGCTGAGGAACGCCTGAAAGGTCACTCGAAGGATTCATCTTCCACTGCATCTGGGGAGTCAAGCGGGCCAGACAAATCATCTTTGTGGTCTAAAGACATGCCCGGCTCTTGTGCTACAATGACCTTCAATTTTATTTATGATAGGAGCATTTTAGCTGTTTTGTAGGATTTGCATGTAAACGGAGAATAGATATTTGAGAAACTGTGCTGTATTAAGGTTCGTTGTACATAGTATTCCGGCTTGGTTAGGTATTCAAGTTGCCCTTTCTATTTCGTAACTTCTGCGCTTCTTTTCTTCAACGGGCTTCGTTTGTGAGCACAGTCGCGACAAGCTATAATTTATAACTTCAGAAATGAGCAATGACTTTAGAAGTGGAAGATTCTAAAGGGTATGCAAAGTCATCCATAAAAAAAATAGGTGAAAATTGTGATAGCGATAAGAAGAAATGCATGTGCATTTTGCAAGAGTATATTTGGATCCCAATTTAAAAACAGTGGATTTCGACGATGTAGACGAGGGTATTACTTCAAATAATATGTAACATCTGACATATCTCGTTTATTTTGTCAAATAACTATAAGATTAAGAAATAGTTAATGATGTTTGTAGTTTTTCGTGATATTAATTTAATTTAACGAAAGTTAAGTATTAATTTTAAGTAAATTTATCATAAATATATCGATTTAAGGTTTTTTTTCGAGAGTCTGATTTCGCAAAACAAGTTGTAATGGTAGGTATAGAGACTTCTTCGTTGTCGCGGTCCACGGACATTTCTTCGGTGGCCGTGCCATTCTAATTTTCTTCTCGTATCCAAAGCTTACGTTGCGTTAAGGCGGCGCTGGTAATTTCGAAAGAGATCTTCTTCCAGTTTGTTCCCCCGCGGTTTCTCTCTCCGGCAGGCGCGAGGGAGAGAGGAGCGGTTTCCGCCATTGGAGGTGGAGGATGCACCACCTCAAGCTTCCCGCCAAGGCGAAGGCCTCGCTTCTGCTGCTCGCCGCCGGCGGCCTCTCCTTCCAGGCGGCTTCGTCCTCCGACCTCCTCTCGTTCCCCCGCCATTCTTCCCTCGCCTCTCCTCCTCCTCGTCCTCCGACGACGACGAATCTCGCCGGCAAGGTCCGGGCGTTGATCGACGGCGTCTCGCGCTCCTCTCGTGCCGTCTCCACGGTCCTCCATCGCTTCCCCTTCTCCTCCTCCTCTCCGTCTCTCCCTTGTTCGCGCCGCCATTGACGGAATTTCGCCTTCGCAGGTGGCGATCACTGTCGTGGACTACGAGCTCTCCTTGCGCGGGCTTTCGCGGGACTCCGAGGAGTATCTTCGCAAATTGTCCGAGGTTAGTTCTCCGTCGCTTGCCGCAGTGAGTCCTGAAGGAAGACGATCGGAGTATTTCGGTATTTCTTGATTTGGGAATCGGTGCATTTAGTTCGCTAACGAGCGAAATCTCTAAATGTTTGTGTGTCGAGTAGTATTTTAGTGAATATGAATTGGGAAAGAGAGGCATAAGAAGTTATTCAGTTGTCAGACGTCGCGCAAGTGCGCACATTCAGCTACCTTTTACTTTGACATATGATCCTGAGCAACAGGCATATAATAGCTGAGCTTTGTCACTAAGTGCTTCGTTATGTTGTACAACAACAATTCATTTTAATGAACTGCATAAGTTTTCTAAAGTTGCAAATAGGAATTGCTCGTCTCACTTCTTCATTTGCGTGGCAACAAATTGGCATGGCATAATACAGATTTGTTTCATGCGGAAAAATTAGTGGTCCTGTGCATTTTGCCCGAGTGGGTTTGTGCACTGAAGTTTGCTCAGGGTCGGCTTTCAGGTACATTCGCGGTCAGCTACGAGAATTTTGAAGCTATGCGAAGCCAACAAAGGCTTCTATGTCAAAGCTGGTCAGTTTGTTGCAGCCATCAGGCAGGTTCCTGAGGAATATATATCGACGCTTTCGTCATTACAGGATAAGGTTTCATTCGTCTTTAATTGGATTTTCCTTTTCCTCTTCGCTTTGATTTATTATTTCCAGCCTTAGTAATTGATTTTCTTCTTTAAATGTGAACGAATGATGCCTTAGGCAGTCCCTTGTCCTTTCAAGGCAATAAGGGATGTACTAATCAACAACTTTGGACAAGATTTATCATGCAAGTAAGTTCTCCATCAATACTTATCGGGTATTTCTTCTCATATCTCTGTCATAATTTTGCTTTGAACATATCGTTTAGTTTGATCCTTTCAACATTAATAACATTTTAAGTTGGAAATTCTTATGCTCGGTGAGTTGAAAAAACATAAGGGCATCTTTCTTAGACTTTCATTGCATGGACATTTAATAAGACCCCTTCCCCTCTTTCTTTTCACTACAAACTTTTTAACTGAGGAAAAAGGTGGTCCTAACGATCAGATGGTTAAATTTACTAGTAGGATTCTTTCTGCTTCTTTGAAGGTATCTTTTCTTTGTGGGTATATATGAATGGATCCAATGAGGTGGTAAGTCATTAGTTGCAAGAAACTGAAAGTTTAGGTCCTTCAACCTGTGGTTTCTGTCATTCATATGATCTTTAACTAGTGAATGCAGATAATGAATGCGCGCTCTCTGTAAAAATATATTCGCCTAGTTCTGTATATGTTACACTTCAGAAATAGATAGTTCGAACAGCTGTTACCGGACCTTAACAAACTCTTAAGCATTTTTTCGCAAGTAGTGTCCTTTTGACTGCGCTTTAGTGGATTATGAAACTTTCTTTGCATTTTGGGTTGGTTAAGGTTACCTGGTAGATTAAATTTTAACCTTCCACTTGATATTGTCCGAGCAGTTAAAAAATGATGTTAGTGCTGGTTGCAACATATGTATAGTGTCTCTTGTCAACTGATCTACCTATTTAAGAACATATAAGTAAGCTGGCCATACCCTAGATTCTCCTACTGAAAGATTTGGCTGATGGGTGACTGCTCCAGCTTTAGACTTTAAAGGTACAGGGTGCCACAATTATGTATCATGATGATTAAATAGGAAACGTTATCGTCGGATTACTAAACTTAGACTGTGTTGGCCCAAAAAAAGCCTTAAGACTATTTTTTTTATCGTTTCTATTCTCATTCTGATCTGATATCTGGAATCATTTCGTTGGTTAATAACAACTTGAATTTTCCTCTAAATTTTAGTGTTTTCACAGTGAGATATACTTTCTGAAATGTAAGGATCACATTACCTTGCGATTTCAGATTCTGTTCATTCGATGAAGTGCCAATAGCTGCTGCATCTATAGCTCAGGTTCATCGTGCAGTTTTAAAAGACAGTCATGAAGTAGCAGTTAAGGTCAGTCACTATGGTTCTTGTTACTGAATTTCTTATCATCATTTGTTGCCATTCTTGTTACTGAATTTCTTTGTCGAGAACTTATTTTTATAGATTATGATTCTTGTTTAGGCTCTTACTTGCTTGTCCCTAGTCTCTCCTTCTCCCCTCCCTGCCTTGCACACACTTGTTCACCTCGAAAGACACATGCATGCATTATAGTTAAAATTTCTTTTGAGATCAAAGTCTTTGGAACTAATTGTGGGATAATATGCTAGTGAAAACCCATTGGACGATCCACACCTCAGTCACATCTTCTTGGGTAAAATCCACATGCATCCTGGATAATTGTTGTAAATGAAGGCCATGTGATCTATGCAACCCTGTTACATCTTTGTCTAGCAAGTTGGTGCTTTGAACTGTTGCAGACCGATGAATGGACACAGAGGTTTCAAGTTTCGGGCAGCAAGATAAGAATCTTTATAGATTCCTATCTGAAGATCAGCGAGATAAATAAATTTCACCTGAAATTTCAGGTAGTAGGGTATATAAAGGGACAGCCCGGTGCACAAAGCCCATATATTCACCAAAAATTACACAAGCACCTATCCTCTAGGGGATGGCGCCCTACACCGGCCCCCTAGGTTGCCCTTGGTTATGGCTATCATGGTAGTTTGTGGCTTTTGGAGTTGCATATCAAGTCATTTCATCCAATCTAGTCCTCTAAGGATGGTGGAGTACTGTTGTTATTAGTGAGATATAAATCGCATATGAGATGGATATGATTTTTTATTTATTTTGTTAATAAGTGCCTTAGGGCACTAGTTAAGTAACTAATTAAAGAAACTTCCAATTCTAAAGTGCTTACTTTTCCTGTAATGCGTATGATTAGTGTTTTGAAATTCAAAGTTTCCTATAACTATCCTCAGGGCACTCGTGAAAAGGACATGTTCTCACCATGTATGTAATTTTTTAGGACATTAGTTAATTTTGATACTAATGATTTTTGTTCACATATACCAGCATGTTTATTTGTCAAAATTAGTGGGGATTGTCTTATAAGATGCATATACGGGTATGATTGTGGACACAATAGAAAGCCCAAGACATGAATTTTGCTTTACTCTTGTTAATTGTGTATTTATATGACCGATATTGAGCTATCTTAGATGATTATCTGAATGTGATGTGTTAGGATTGTTATCTGCTTGCCTCTCACATGAATGTACTCTTTTGGTAATAGATTGAGTACAGTTGATTCAGAAAATGCTTATTATGTGTTTGGGATGACTTTTATTCTTTTATTCTTTTGCTTTTGCTGTTTCATTTTACTTAACATTTGGAATTGACTTTTGCTGGATATAGAGCACCTAATATCTTGAAAATCGTACTTATACTAGCTTTTAAACTCAATTTAGAATTTTCTCATTGTCTTTTAGAAACTAAAATAGTTCGTATATGGGGAAACTGTAAATGAACTTATTTAAAATTTCTCTAAACAATTATTAATTTTTTTTTTTTTGGTAAAGGTAAGAATAACAATTATTAATTTTTTTTTTTTGATGACCCGGGAACCGCCGTACAGCCGACAGCCGGCGACGTAAACCCGGGGTGACGCTAGCGCAGGACCCACCACCACGGCGCCACACTTAAGAATCCCTAACGACTACGCTGGGATTCGAACTCCCCACCCTTCGTGAGGGGCAGAGAGCGCGAACCAACGCAGCCGCTGCGGGCGGTGGGACAATTATTAATTTTGAACCCAAGAAAAACAAAGAAGAGCCTTACCAGTAGATGTATGGTGAAAAAGGATTTATCCATATTTGTGCATGGTCAACATGGCCCAAGCATTTCTGAAACAGACTGTTTTTTAATTGAAATGGTATAACCAACATCTGACCCCTGGCCTATGTAACGCATTTCTATCTCTGTTTCCTCCCAAAGCTAATTTAATTTCTGCTGGAAAACTGCGAGTAGTTTTCTGCTTGGCAGCAGTGAACTATCTGTTCTTGCTGGTATTTGACAATGATGATCAGGGAAAAGAAATAAACAAGGAAAATTTTCAAGTACTTGCAAAATAAATATTTTTGTGTGCGCTTTTGTGATTTGCTTAGTGTTATTAAAACCAAAAAATATAAGCGAAGAAAAACTTGTTGCAATCTGTCCATGTGCTTGCTGTAGATAGTTCTTTTAATAATGGTGCACAATAGTTAGTTTCTAGAATTTTTATGGGCTCACGGCATAGCAAATTGATTTTTTCATGTTGTTATTTGGCTGATAGGTACAATACCCAGGGTTAGACCGCCAGATGAAACTAGACACGATGATCATGTCTTTCCTCTCAAAGTCCATCACGTGGGTCAGAACTATTCTCGTACCCCTTGTTGAATTGTTTTGTAATATCTATTATCTGGTCCTGTGAGATACCTAGGTCCATTACTTTGGCTTTTATATTATCTGGAGAAGCATTCAGTTTCTCATGTGCGTCTGCTTAACATCGTGCATTTTCCTTTTCTTTTGATATTTAATGTGGGCCATCTGCATGTTATTCTAGCAATGATATGATACTGTATGCCGAGCAAAAGGCAACATGCGACTCATTATGCTCTTGTCATATTTCTCGTCGGTTATGTGATTGTTATGGTTATTACGTCTCAGCTGTTCAAACAGCTAGCTATTACGACTGAAATGCCATTTGAGATAATTAATTAACATTACATCAGTCGGATGTATCAGTGCCAATGCTTGTCCTACTTTTACAGATTCAGAAATCTCAACTCGACCTTAACTTTCAACCCTTATATGAGATTTTTTATGAAAACCACCAACGTCCATATTGCTGCACATGCACAGTTGTGACCTTGCCTTCCCCGAAACTTCTCGAGGAACGCATGTACTGCTCTGAACCGGAGTGATATCAACATGTTAGACTTATGGATGTGTTGTAGCTTAAGTTTAGCTTGCGATATGTATTGATCAGTAGATACCTAGGCATTCACGACACTTTTGTAGCTATGATCGCAGATTTTCTTTTATGAGGAGCGAGGAGGTTTGGCATAGAATAATCAATGTCTGATAGAGGATAATTTGCTCTGAAATGATGTCTGTACAATGCTTAGTTGTCACAGTCACGTTGTAATGCTGAAGCAATTTGATACTGCAGTGTCTCCATGGATGTCTTATTCAAGGGAAGAGTAGCAAACCCCATGGGAGAAAAGGAAAACAGCACAACAAGCTTGCTTGTTTAGTTGTTTTAACCCAGTTCTGCAGGACCCAGAATAGGTATAAGCAGGAACAATTGAAATCGATGTACGTGAAGATGGATATAAAAACCAAATAACGAGTCAGATTCTGGAATTTAAGGAAAGCAAAAACAGGGTTCAGGGATTCTGCATTAATGTACCAGTTTTTTTTTTTTTTTTTGGTCGTGCATTAATGTACCAGTTAGGGTACGCTTTTTTAATGTAAACGCTGTGTCCACTGCCATTTGTGCTGTGGAAATAGCAGGGGCTTCATCATCATCATCTTCATAATCACTACAATGACAACAATCATAATATTATGTGGTTTTTCTTGTATATGCTTGTGTAGTTTTGATCAATTCAAATTTAGTCTGCTAAGGAATCCCCTTGTCATGTTTGGTTGTCTTAAGTTTCTCAGAATGATTTTCCCAAGTAGCCATTACTTTTTATGCTATTTGGTTTCAGGGCACTAATATGATATCTATATAAGCTGGTTATTTAGAGTGCTTGTTTGCGCTGTTGATTGCTTCAGTATATTAGCCTATATTCTCAGTTGAGAAAAATGATCCTTTCTCTTCTTTCACAGCTCTTTCCAGAGTACAGATTTGATTGGCTGGTAGGAGAATTCGTCAAAGCTACCTCCTTGGAACTTGGTAAGCATCAGAGTGTAGTATCTGTGTTGAAAGTAATATAATACCTTAAGGTGTAATTTCTGGGGAGCATTTTTCATTTTTCATTAAAAAGCATCTTTGATCCACCACACTTGCCAATAGACATCAGACACCCATTTTCACATAATGAGTTTTAAGTTAAGAACCTCGGTTTGTGGATCCATTTATTTACATTCAAGAGCCCTAAAGAAAGTGAAGTATACCTAATGCTTTTGTTGGGTATTTTTGTGGTCACGAGCCACACCCTAACGATTTCATGGGTAGTGTGCTGTTTCTGCATAAGTAAATTGAACTCAACTGTAAATTCAAGTTAAAGCAGTTACTATTAGTAAAGTTATCTAGAGTTGCATCTTGTTGCGTATTCTTTCTCTTTTGCTTTAGCGAAAGTCCTTTTTGTCAAAATTCTGTTATCTGCTTAACTCATACAGATGAATTGGTGCTAGATTATGTGTTATACAATCATGGAGTGCTATAGTCTTACAAGATTGTTAGCAGAGTAATGTCTGAAAGTTCAGATTCAAATCTCATTTGTGCATGATGACATCACTCACTTTTTTGGTCAATGCGGTGGAGTAATTGAAATTCATGTCAAATTTCATGACAAAGTTGTTTTAATAAAGTTCCATGAACATCTATTGTTCTTTTGACATATTCATTGACATAATTTTGAAGATTCTGTTTCATAAACCGGTATAGTTCTCGACCACATAGCATTATTTGGATTTGTGATGTCATATGTTTGCTGAATTTGCTGCTGCAATAGGTATATCAAATAGTTTGAACTAACTTTATAGAGCTGATATTATTTCTGTTCTGGGCCATGACAAAGTTAGAATCAGAGGATACAACAAATGAGACTCAGCCGACTTGGTCCAGGTTTTGACTTTACTAGAATAGTATGTATCTAATTTATTCTAATGGAACTGGAGAAAAAGTTCTACGTGGTATATGTTTAGGCTGTGATAATTCTGCGTGGAAGTGTTATTATAGCGCTTTCTTTGACGATAGTTTAATCATTTTGCCTAATTCTATATTTCATGTAGCAAAAGTAGGCATCAGTCAACCTAAATGTTATATATCATGGGAGACGTGGCTGGTTCATTTTGTGAAGATATGATAATTGTACCCGTAATAATACTCCACTTATCTCCAATAAGTGGTTTCGATTGAGCATGGTCCCAGCCGCCATTGACATTGTCTATAAAGATTTTATCCAGGAGGGCAAAAATGCTGAGAGAACTGCCAAGAACTTTATCTCCAATGACAAGGTCAAGGTCCCTAAAGTAGTATGGGTATGATTTTTCAGATTTTCAATTTTCAGTCACTATCTTTGAAGAGTTTCATGTACTTATTTGAGTTTTCAGCTGTTATTGCATTCATGATAAATTTGCAGGAGTTGACAACAAGCCAGGTTCTGACAATGGAATTTTGCAGGGGAAGCAAGGTATGGCATGTTTTTATTGTACCAGGAGTACTGCAATATTAGTGTCTGGCCTGTATAAAAGTCTGGACTTGGAACAAGTGGTCTGGGACAAATGAAATCTTGTACTTGCCTACTTGCATTGTAATCACCATCAAATTTCTGAGACATATTTTGGTTGGGTTATGTTGTGAGTGTCAGAACCATATGCATCAAGGTCTCTGACTTGTGGTAATGCTTAAGATATATAGTTGGGTTACTTCGAAAGAAATTGAAAAAATTGGCATAGAAAAGAATGTGTTTTGTGAAAATGACCGTGCATTATATCCCAGTTCTTATTACAATTTATACGTGTCGTGGTTTTCTCTATTGTCATTCATTTGAACATTGAGCCTCTTGGATGCTGGTACACGGACGTGCACCTGATAAATCGTGCCACCAGTATATTCATTGCATGATAACAGACAGCAGTTCCTGTCCTGGTGCTTTGGTCCTATGTCCTCACTGCAAATAGCCGTTGTATTGCTTAACTGAATCGCCTAGATTGGTCAGGCAGAGCAACCTGTGTAATCTTGCCTTGTCCAAGCACCTAGGAGCATGGGTCACCTTGTCTTACATGCTGCAGCTGTGTGTGTGTGTGTGTGTGTGTGTGTGTGTGTGTGTGTGTGTGTGTGTGTGTGTGTGTGTGTGTGGGTGTGTTGTTAACAATAAGTTTCTTCAATCTGTAGGTTGATGATTTAGAATATCTGGAGAAGATGGGAATAGATCCAACAAAGGTTTGTTGTCTTCCCTCATCAGCAATCAGTTATAGCTATGTTAACTCACATTTGTCTGCAAATGCTTAAAGTCGAGGACACCCATGAATAATGTCAATTTTGTTTGAGATTTCAACTGATCTGAAAGTATAGTGCTGAGGGTTCAATCGTTCAATAACATAGAGGTGTGTCCTTAATTACTTTTCGCAGTTTAAAACTGTCAGAATGGATTTAATGCAAAAGAGAGACAAAGAAAGGGACAAGAACTTTAAATACGAAAATAATTTGTTTCTAAATTTGCGGTGAGAAAGAAGAACATTCTAGAAATGTAGAGACTGAGATGCAACTGAGGGAAATTAGTTATTATCAACTAATACCATAACAACAATCGTGACTTAAGTTGTTCATCTAACGTATTGAGTTATACCTTTAAGATCAACATCTGTAGAACTGGTCCCATCATCAGATGAACTTGAAATTGTTACTATAAAGAATTGCAATCTGCTAGTTATGCTTACAATAGAGAATGATTGTATTATATCAAATTAACTGGAAATCCTTGACAAAGCCTCTCTGTTTTTTAATGTGAATCCGATGGTATTCTTTTGATTATGATAGCTTGCTTAGTTATGTCTTTAAGGTTGCAAGAGCACTGGTGGAAGTCTTTGCTGAAATGATATTTGTTCATGGGTTCGTGCATGGAGATCCTCACCCTGGTAATATATTAGTTTCTCCAGAGGGCAAATCTGGATTTTCTTTAGGTGAGGCGTAATATAGATTTTTATCTCCTAATACATTTTCCATTGAAGTTTTCGCCAGTGAGTCTTTCAATACATGAAGCCACTCAAGTATTTTCTCCTACACAGTTATTCTTGATCATGGGATTTACAAACAATTGGATGAGAAATTTAGAATGGACTACTGTCGGCTCTGGCAAGCTCTGATTCTTTCAGATTCGGCTAGAGTACAGCAGCTTAGTGAACGTTTTGGTGTTGGCAAGTATTCTAGATATTTCCCCCTCATTTTAACTGGAAGAACCATTGACAGGTGATTTTTTTTTATCCTACACTCCTGTGAAAGATTCATTTTTGTACTATGAGTTATATAGTGGTTCAATTGCTTATCATTAGAAAAATTAGAGTGCTTCTAATAACTTATGCTATTTTTTAGCAATACTTGCCTAGGGCTTAGTAGGTAATAACTAGCATATACTGAGAGGAACTTTTCATAAAAAAAATTAGAGCGCTTATAATAGCTTCTGGTATTTTTTTAGCAATTCTTGCCCTGGACTTAGTAGGTAATAAATAGCAAATACCAGAGGAACTTTTTCAACGATATTATGTAAGACTTGCTGTGATATGTCCCAAAATCACGGTCTAGAGGAGCAAAAACTTTTAATGGTCTACCTAGCCAGCTGTTGCCAATGGTTAGCAATATCTACCTTTTGTTTTTGGCCAGAGTTGCAATATCTACCTCGCGGTAACCTTTCTTGCAGTATGCCTATCCCAAGTTAAGCTGTGCCAAACATTTGACTCTTGTCAAGTTGTTATCCACCTTTTGGGAGACAATTTGTGTTCATTTAGTAGGGCAACTGGCAAGTTTTTCGTCAGGTTTACCCTCAGGCTCCTTTTTTTTCTATAGATTATGTTCAGCGGTGCCCACATCAATTAAGATACAATAAGTACACTTTGGAAATGCAATGTTCTTGATTTTGGTGTTTACTTTCCTTGGGATATCTAAGGTTTATTCACCTTTTTCCGTTTTCACTTTCATGGAAAAAATATTGTGCATATTGACTCACTGATTGCCCTTAGAACACCCATGAAAAATTCTTTTGCTATTCGTTCCAATTTGCGGCACATTGTCTATGCAATGAACACAGACACATGCCTGGACCATGAGTACAATATCCCCAATCTTTTGTGCATGTAGGTCTCAAACAGTGAGATAAAGAGATGACTAGCTACATATAGATTCTCATTGTGGCAATGGTTTGATAATATTTTTTGGGACATAGCGCTTATTGATAAGTGTTCATTTTGGATTAGATACCATACAATTTACACGTAGGGAGATAATTCCACACAGCTGCGACATTATAACCCATTATATAACAAGGATGCAAATTTCACTGTTGGAAATTGTCCGAGGTATTCTCATAGAAAAAGAATGGGCAGAGGAGAGGAGGAGGAGGCCTTCCAAGTGTTCCACATTTCCCCAATGGCAGTCTTTGTATGTTAAATCCTTATTTGTGTCCATGACTTGTTAGAGAGAGTCAAACAATAGTGAACTTGAGTTTTTAACACTGCTTGTAAAGTAAATATGTGATGGTTCTCTAATCTAATAATCTCAAATGGTAGGGGCAATGCTCGTGAACTGCCAGAAGGCTTTGCACACTGTAAAACCGAGAAACTTCCTAGGGATGTCCTCGTAGTTCTTGAATACCCCGAAGGGCTAGAGTATTGCAGATTTCATATGCTAATTTTTAATGTTTGGTTATATGCGCATTGGTATGCGGTCTACCTGAAGAATGTAAAATCTGGAATGGCCACAAATCCAAAAATTATCATGTAGAATTCTACTATTGTTCATTCAAGTTAATTTTTGAAGGAATTCCCTGCATTTATAATTGTATCTGTAGCAATACTTTTGGTTATTGGTGTAAACTTTCTCCTCAATGAAACATCCTATCTTTTTCATGCCAAAGAGAGAGAATATTAACTGTACTTCATAATGCTATGGGCAGTAAATCAGCTCTTGGCGAGGCCATGTCAGTTGAGGAGAAAAGGAAGTTAAAGAAAGATCTCAAATCCTTACGAATGGAGGATGTGTCATCATTTATGGAAGCTTTGCCTCCAGACTTCTTGATAGTACTTCGTACAGAGTACGAAAAAGAACTAAAATTATTTTTACCATGTGAGGCGAGTTTCTACATTTCTTAGTCTTATTATTTTGGTTTACTATTCCAGTGGGCTACTGAGGGCCATCAATCGCAAGTTACGCGCTTCTCAACGAGTGAGGTTGTTAACTTATGCAAGATTCGCCCTATACGGTCTTTTCCAAGGGCCAACTACTCAATCTGGTAAAACTACTTCCATCGTGCAATAACTTAATCCTCGTTGATGTGATCAACTCTTGGATTGGGTTCGAGTGAAATTTGGAGCTTGTGTTATTGGTGTTGCTTTGCAAGTAAGTCTATATGGCCTAGAATAGTTTCATCCTATAAGAGACAGGTCCAGGATAACGATAAAATCATGCCTTATATTTTTAAACAAGATAAATTGACAGCAATGGTGCACGGTACTAGCCAACGAGGTGAGGTCTAAATGGTGGAGTTCCTGGAAGTGGGCCATGGGCACCTGCATGTTGTAAGCATACATTAAGTAGCAGTGTGCCTTGCGTGCATAGCCAAGTGTATGCATTCACGGATGTAGGCCAGAATCGGAAGGGGGTTGTGGGGTAGAGAGAGAGGGAAGGAGGAAGCAATGAGGAAGGATTAGTTCCATAGTATTGGCAAAGTGGCTTGTAATTTGCGTTAGGAGGCAGGAGGGTCGAGGTGGATGGTTCTTAATTGAGCAATTACTTAGAGCATAAAAATTGCATGGGTGCATTTTCTTGTTGCATTGTCATATCCTTCATTTGTGAAGAAGACACTATCTAACACTATGTTTTTAACGGTTTAGGTTCCGCGGCTGCAGTGTTCTTTTCCAAACTCAGGGGAAACCTGAGTTTCCTTAAATTGAGAGTTGTCCTTGGTATGTATATTCTATTCGCAATATTTTTTATAAGGGCAAAAATTAAATGAAAATATGTCCTGATACTTCAATTTCTTTATTTATCTTCTGAATTCAGTAGTGCTGGAGTTGCTTTCCTGGATGGAAAGGGCAAGGCGCTTGCTACTTGAGATGGTAAACCATCCGTATGTGGCCGCAGGGCTGTCTGTTAAAGGACATTATTTAACTTCTGGATTGTAGATCTTGTTGCATTAGTCAGCTTAAAATTTTGAGACGGATGCAATGAAGGTAACATTTGTTGTCGTCGTCCTCTCTCTCTCGCACTCACTCTCTGACATAGCGTTTCATATGACCTGGTATAGAAATTGGGCGATGAGTATTACAGAATACATTGGTTATTTCTTCCCCCTACAGGAGCAACCACGTCTGAGGAGATCATGTGTGTTTAGCTACGATAGTCCTACTTTCCTATCTGTGCTTTGCGTACAAACTGAAAGTATTTAGGTAGCAAGTCACACAATTTCATCTAACTTCAGTCAATCCTACTCTGCCTAGGCAGTGGGTTCCCCTTCCTCCCTTCTCGATTACGAAAAGGAAAGTAAGCTTTGGTTCGTTCAGTGCACCAACAAAACCAGAAGACCCATTCCCGAAAAAAGAAAAAGGAAACTCAGCATGCATGGTGGGAATGCAAGCAAAGGCAATTGACCCCTGCGTGAGAGAAAGGGTGAAAAGCACGGTGTCCGGAGATTTGTTACCCTTTTTCATTAAATTGCACTCTAACGATGAAGCAGGGATGCATATGATGGCTTCGGTGACCCAAGGGCTGGTGGTTTTGCATAAAGCTCTAAGCGGATGATTGGGTTATCAATCTGTTCTCTCAATTCAAGCATGGAGTCAATCTCATACCAAGTTTATCGTCCTTCATACATGGCATTGATGTTGGACATCAACTCGATTCATCATTGTATGGTAAATATCCAGTCGCAGTCCAATTCATTTGTAACTTCACAGTTTTGGGCAATAATTGTGGATCGATGGTTTTTGACAAATGGAGGGCACTCCCTCTACGGATTGTGATTTTTACGAAACTGTTCAGTTGTTGAAATGGAACGATCAATTCATAAAGACGTAATTATGTCACCCCTTCGGAAAGTCCTAACAATGGTAGATTCAGCAATTCTATCTAAGATACAGGGAAAATATTGCTAATTTCCTCAAAGTACAAGGGAGAATACTGTGAAATAAGATACTTATACCAAAAAGATATACCATTCCAAGCCAGCTTAGCTCGCAAACTTGCATATAACATATACTTCTCGGGATAGATGATGGTCGCATTTATCGAAAATCCTATGAATGCATCGTAAAAGTTCTGACTCTGCTCCACTGTGAAGGGCCGGCACAAACTTCAGACCTCAGCTCATATCGATTATCTGCCCAATCTACTAATCAGTCCGATTAATTCATCTTTCGTGCAACAGGAACAGGTTCAAAATATTAGCAGAAAGGGACAAGAAACCAATCAAATGGCGTTTTGCTAATCTACATCAGATTCATTAGAAGATGGGGCTACAGCAGTTCAGCAACACTTTACAGAAAGTGATATCTTCAAAATGTCGAAAGGCAAATGAAGTCTCGAACCTTTTGAAGTTACATTTGCACCAGGAGATCCTGTTACTTACAGATGGCAACGACTTGCCTGACCCTATAAAGGTTTACTAGCTAGTAATTTGTACCAAAATTTTGCCAAAGTGAATGGAAGTTATGACCTTTGGCAGGAGGTATGCAATTACTGGTGGCAAGGACACGAGAAAGACTAGGCATGTTCAAAATGCGATCTCGCATGTTATCCATGACAGTAGCCATTACCAATTTCATTTGTTTTCTGAGACGTGCTTCTCCAGGAATGCATTAGCCAGATTGCTAAAGTTGATGCTAACGTTTCCAGCGGCAGCATACCTCTTGATCAAATCAATTAATTCTGGCTTCAAAATTTCTTCTTTGTTGGATGCATCGCACAAATAGTAAAGAGATCCGAGGGCATACATTACCTGTAAATCATCAGGCAAACTCAAAAAGCACACTCATACCAATGAACCAACTAAACACTTCATTATCTCCAATTAATTTATTCATTATTCCTCCATGTAAGTGAAGCAGATTCTTTTTTCATTTTTTGCGTGGGGTGCAGTGTGGGGGCGAATGTAAATGCGGCAGTTTAAAGCATCACATCTTCACTTCAGCATAATCGATAAAGATGCCTGTGACTTCATTCTGTTTGCAGAATATGCTAAAATTTGTCACTACATTGCGGTGTAGTATGCATGTACTTAAGGATTCAATCTCAAGCCCAATTTGAAACTGACATTTAGTCTTTTGTGGCAGAAGAGTTGAAGCATTCACAGAAAGGCAGGTTCTCCACTCACAGTATTCCTTACAGGGCTTGATAGACATTGAATAACGAGGGGGATCCCACCACTCTGAGTGATGATTGCAGCATTTGCTGGCTCTGTAGAGAAAAAAAGACTGACAAATTGTTAAGTAGAAAAAAAATTATCAATTAATATTTTACGAGAGACAAATTTTAACCTTAACTTGCATGATTGATCTATCATCTACAGCTTGGAATTCCTGAATTTACCTGCGCATGAATTGCATATTCCTCCAATTCCAAATTCAATAAGTTTCTCATTTGGTTCAGTCATGCAATCCAGAAAAAGCTCCAAAACGTTGAGCTGTTTCAGAGTAAAAATTGAATTAGTCGAATATCATTAACACCAGATCAAGAAATTATCCATTCAAGTAATCAGAATATGAAGGTTCTAGACCTGGCGCAAGAATGTATAATTGTAGGGATCATAAGCAAAATTCCCCAAATTGGCAGCGATTTTTTCTTTCATCTCTGGACATGAGGAAACAATTAGTCATGATGAAATCATTCACATAAATGGTTGCTGTATCAATAAATGCAAGCTGGAATTCCAAAAAACTACATCTTGACGATGCATTTCCACGTAACCAGTCACAATATTTCATGACTACAGGGAGTAAAAACAGGAGAAGGAACCTTGAATAAAAAGAACAGAGAATATTAAGTTAACTGTAGGAGACTCGAAAATGCATTCAAATTTCTAGGCTGCATTTCATCCAGAGAATTGGGCCCTTAAAAGTTCCTCACTGAATATATAATCCTGTGCCATATTCCACAATCATCGCCCTCAACAAATCATCTAGACACATTTACATTCAATAGCTACAACCCTGATTTTTGTTTTATCTACTGTGCAAAACCCAAAGCTTGGCATGACCTTCCTCATCCATAATGGCGGGTGAACAATGCAAATCACTAAGTGAGCACAAACCAATTTCACCAAGACAGATAATGCACGCACAAAGATCCGCGTTACCTTCAGTCGTAGCATTCTGGAACTGGCTCACCAAATCCTGAAAACAAAACAAGGAAAAAGACATTAAGCACAAAAAGGTTCGACTCTAAACTCCATCAGAGAATGTAGAAATAGATACAGGAGCTCGCACGAGGAAGTTGGTCGCCTGCCTTTCAAAATACAAGAAACGAAGGACAGAAGAAGAAAAAACCGATCCTATCCTCTCGGCAGCTCGAGCGAGGCAGGCGTGAATTACCCACCATTTTCAGGGAAAGCAGGAACCAATTCAAGGTCCCAAAGTCACAGTCGGTCCAGCAGGACACAGTTAGGATCAAACCCCAAAAACCCCAGAATCGAAGTCGGGCCGACAGATGACCAAACACCCATGAACCGAAGAAGACGAAAGCACAAGGAAAAGGGGGAAAGGTGGGATCTTGATGAGAACAGAACCTGGAGGTACTGCAACCTGGGGGTGCCATATCTTCCCGTTCGCTCCTCTTGCCTCCGATCGTTCGTGAACATTATTGCCCCAGTTCCTCCCTTCCCGACTTCGAATCCTCTGCGTAAAACCTCGGGTCAATTCTTGATTGCGATTTAACATCTACCATCTATCATATGAATCTGTGTAGAATCCCAAATAGGAAGCGACCCTATTGATCCACACTAGCAAATGTGCGCGTAGCTATCACTAAGCTTGTAGAAAATAATACAAACAATACCTGAATTTTTGTTCAATATGCAATATGATTCATGAATTTTTAATCTATTCAATATAGTCTCTTTGAACTTTTTGTTCACGGAGACTAAATTGAACATGTACCGAAAATTTAGAGAAACCATATGGAATAAATTAAAAGTTTAAGAATTACATTGAACATGAAACTAAAGTTTAAGGATTACATTGAACAAATTAAAAGTTTAGGGATCGCATTGCATATTGAGCTAAAGTTCAAGAATTGTTTGTGTTATTATCTCGTTCATAACTTTTTATATGTTTATAATGCAAGAAGTGAGCTAATTTATTGTACTTTTATTATTGATGTAATATTTGGGTAGTAGCAAAAAATAAATTAAAAATAATTTTTTTTACCCTTTACAATATCATTGCAATTGAAATGATATATAAAGACTTTTTGTATTCGAATGCAATTTATGTGTGAATAATAACTACAACAATATTTTCTTATATGTGAAAACGCTAAGCAATGTTATGATTTCTTTTTGGGTAATAGCACTGGCAGTTGTTGAACTTTTGTTCATTGTTCAATATCATGAAGTCCTGATGTGGCCGTTAGAGTTACCGATTTGTCATTTTGTTATAAATTTTTCGTTCTTGAACTTATTTGTTTGTTTAAATTTTGTCCTTAAAACAATCATATTTTGGTTCTTTCTCTTAAACAACCTTCGCTTTAGTGTTATGTGGGTTATCAAATATTCTATGAGATAAATCTCAATGACCCTAATCTAGAACAAGTAATTGTTTTTAAGGATATGTTCACTAGAAGTCCCAAAACTTGTCCCAAAACTTGTTCCAAAAGTGCAATTGAGCTTTAAAACTTACAAAAAGTACAATTAAGTCCTAGAATTTATCAAAATAGTTGAAATGAGTCCCAAAGTTAACACCGTCAAATTTACTAACGGAAAATGCCGACTTGGATTATTTTAATATTTTCTCTCTCCTGCGTGGTTAAAACGATATCGTTTTGGCTCAAATTTGATTTTTAATACTAATTTTTTTAAATTAAATGTAAAACGTAAGCAAATTTAAAAGTAAGAAAAAAAGGGGAGGAGGACAGGCGGGAGGGGCCGGCGAGCGTGGGGGGATGGCAGGCAAGGTCGTCGTTTTGGCCACGTAGGAGAGAGAAAATATTAAAATAAGCTATGTCAGCATTTTCCATTATTATATTTGACAGTGTTAATTTTATGACTCATTTGAACCATTTTGATAAATTTTAAGACTTAATTACACTTTTTACAAGTTTTAGGATTCAATTGCACTTTCGTAATAAATTTTATGACTTTTAATGAACACATCCCTTGTTTTTATATACTCCTTGACAAGACGTATGTTACACGCGTCAATACATTCATGTAAATAATTGCAACGAATAATAAACATTTGCAAGTATGAATTGACCCGTTTATCTATTTATAACCCGTTTGCACTTGTTGAATTTAATAATTTGTGTATGTTTATTGTGTTAACATGACATGTTTACATACATTTAAAATTCTTACTGCGTGTAAACACAAGTAATCATTTATATCTTAAATGTTTTTGTATTGTGTAATCCATTTAATTAACATGTTATGTTTGAATTTATTGTTGTGACATAATTAATTAAACATGGAAGTCAATCTAAATTTGACGTGTCACAAATAAATAAAGAATAATGACGATATTGAACAAAATTAATTAGAAACTAAAATGAAATATTTCGTCCACATCAAATAGAATCTCTCAATGACTTTGGTAGAATGTATCGCTTTTTAAAAGTGTAAGGAAGATATTGTGGAAAATAAAATCATTGAGGAATGAGAAAATCTCAAAGGAATATTAATGTCATTATCCCTTGAATTGTCATGAGCAATGAATCTAACTTAAATTTTCATATTTTGTAATATCCTTTAATTGATAATGCATATGTCTATGACACAAATACTAGTTTTCATCTTAGAATTCAATATTCATTTACGATTTATGAATTCATCATCAAATTCGCATTGTTTGTTTTCATTAAACTAATTTCAATTGCACTTAGCTCTCGAAAACTTCTCACTTAAGTCAAATGAGGTCGTTAGGTGCTCCTCGGTGACAGTCTTCGCCGTTGACCGCCAACCGCCGCCGCCGCCGCCACCGACCGCCAACCGCCGCCGCCGCTGCCGCCGACCTCTCTATGTACGTTTTCTCCGCCGTTTCTTTGTCTACATCCGTATATCTCGGAACCGACCGCGCGGTCCCCGTCAACCTTTTCCAATCACGTATTCAATGGGGAAGGACCAGAATTGAATGAAACTAGTAGCGCAGGGGGCTCAATTGAATGAAAAAAGTTCAAAGGCGGTACTGAAAATAGCAATAAGAAAAAGTTCGGAGACTCTCGAGAGATTTTAAAAGAAGGGAAGCGATCTCCGCCGAGAAGAAGACCACGTCTCCGCCGAGCGGCAGAACTTCCGTCATCTCCGGGGGCTCAGATCGGAGCTCGCGGCGGTTCCCTTCCTCCGTCGACCTAGGACGGCGGCGGCGGCTGCGGCGGCGGCGATGGAGGCGCCGGAGTACGTGTGGAAGGGCGCCATCCCGCTGCAGATCCATCTCCACGAGGCCGACGTCACCGCCCTCCCTCCTCCTCCGCCTCTCCTCGTATCGCATCGATCAAGCTTGTTTTTTTCCACTGTTTTCTGCTTCGAATTCGAGAAACCCCTAATTTCCCGATCGTTCCGCGCGTCTCAGATTCTGGCTCCCCGGGTTGGGTACCTCCCGCTGCTGATCCCCCACGTCAAGCCCCACTTCGGCGGCGCCCTCCCGCCCCCGCCCGGCGTGGACACGGTCTGGTTCGAATACAACGGCCTGCCCTTGAAATGGTAAACGGGGCTCTTCTTTTTCGGGCCGTCGCTGCCGGGGGTTGTTGCCGGTTTCGCCGGTTCGATGTTGTCGCGGCGCGATGGTTTTTGACTGGGTGGACATCGAATTTGGCGAGAATATCTGTGGGTCGTTGGTTGAGAGCTGATCGAATTGTGTGGATTGCTTCGCAGGTTCATCCCGACGGGAGTTCTTTTTGATCTTTTATGCCCCGAACCGCAGAGGCCTTGGAATTTGACGGTATGGAGTTTTTTTTTCTCATTGCTTGCCTTCAGTAACTAGGAACAGGGTTTTTACGATCGACATATTAGGGTTTGCGGTTTGTGCCAAGGATTCAATGGACAGTACATGGCATGTGCCAAGGATTCAATGGACAATGAATGGCATGCTACGTAGTGTCAAGAGATGTGAACAGGGTAATTGCGTGCCACATGTTTGAAACGGAATTTCAATTCATACATGCGGAAAGAAATGGAATTCTTCAATTTGTGTTTTGATGTATCAATCTATAGAGCTTTGCTCCATCCACCGCTAGTGCAATAAGTGTTTTGTGCTGGTGGTGCTGGAAAGCCATGAAGTTATTGTCATTGTTGCACCATGGCATCATTTGTGGGAAGTGATCTGTTGAAAGTGGATTTGATAGAGATAATAATTCAGTCGTCATTTACAAGTTCAACTTATGAAAAATGAGATATCGAAGCCCACAAATCATTTTATGGAACAGATCTATCTCCATTATCTTATTCTTTCTTTTTGCCCTTCTTTGGTCTACACGCTTCTCTAGTGGTCTGCAATGATATCTCCATTTCTTCTTCTCTTCTTCTTCACTCCAGAGCGCTCTACTGGTGATGCCATCTCCATTATCATTATATGAATTCTTCTTCTTCTTCTTTGTTTGTGTGTTATTTTCTGGCATTTGGTTGACTAATTTAAGTTGCATGTGTGCCTCTTATGTATACTGTTTTCACCATGGTCCTCAACATTAATTTCTGATCAAAGCTAGTATATGACAAATTAACCATCATTCTTCTCATGTTATGTTTCTTGCTATTAAGGTACTCTAGATTAATGGCACTATGGCCAAACAGTGGACTTAATGTTAGAATTGGGTAGGGACTCGTATGCAGTTTGGATAGATCTTGTCATATCCATCTCATGAAACATCAATTGTTTGCAGGTACATTTCAGAGGATATCCAAGCAACGTATTGGTCCCCTGCGAAGGTGAAGATAGTGTAAAATGGAGTTTTATCAATTCTCTTAAGGAGGTTGGCATACATATTTTTTTGCTCTTTGCAAGAGGGACTGTACAACTTTAAATATTAATTAATTATTGGTTGTTACTGCATGAGAGTTATATAGACAATTTCAAAATTTTTAAATTTTTTTAAGTGTTTGTAAATTGTAAAAGTTCTATATGTTTATGTTCGTGATTCTTAATTTTTGCTGCCTGTTTGTTTAGGTCTGTTTATGTTTGTAAATTTTACTTGCTGCCTGTTTGTTTAGGATACTGGAAAGGAATAGAAGAGAACTCTGTTGCGGATAAATTGTTGCTTGAAAAATTGCATTTTATGCTATTGGCACTGCTTTTTAGTTATTTGGAGGAAAAAAATGATGCTTTTCTCCATATAAAGTCCGAGGGGTAACTTTGGTCTTGCTTGAAAAATATTTTTGCTGTCCCGGCTTTCAGCCCTTGACTTAGATTGAAGATTAACTTAAAATGACTTTTCTTATTTGGCATGACCTTGGGGATTGGAGTGTTCTTTTTTAGTTCACGTGTGGCTGGGTTTATGTTTCAACTTTAGCTTGTTGATGGGCCTGTTCTTTCTAGAGACATGTGAGATAATTTGTCGTGGCAAGTCATGCAAGATTCATTGGCTAGTTTGGTACTACTTGATCATAGGAGGGAGTATTTGAAATGAACTACCGGAAGAAATTTATTTGTTTATATTTGTAAGTGAAATACTTGTGAAGAGGAGAATGTA